AACAATACTTTGAACACAAAAAGGAATGTCGTTCATTATTAAGCGAAATTCACACTACTGTAAAATAAAAATTATAAAAATATAAAGTAGCTTTATAATATTTTTTCAGTAGCTGTACTACTACTAGTGCGATACTTTTAAAAATAAGTTTTAGCTCAGAAGGGCTATTAATTTAGTTTTGCCATTTTGTGGTGTTTCAACGGAAATGTTTCAAATTGTTGCCACCAAATATTATCGCACTGTATTACATTTAAAGAAGTTAAATAATGAGGAATCTGCATAAATGTATAAATGTTTCTCGCACTGTGATAAAACAACGGTACATAGAGCCATGAAATTTTGAATAACGTAATCTTCCATCCTAATATAGGCATCTGGAGGCCCAAATTTGGAACTGGAAATTTGTTTTATTATCTATTTCATATTTTGTAAAGCATTTATGAGTGTGATTAAGAAACTCAACGATTTCAAAGCGAGCAATGGCAACATTGTACAGATTAAAAAAAAAAAAAAAAAAAAAAAAAAAAAAAAACATTTTCATCTTTAGCGCGCGAGACTATGTATCGGAAATTCTAAAGATATGCTCTTTTTTAATTATATGATATTGCTGTTGAAATTAATTTTATGGTTTGAGTGCGAAGAACTTGATATTTGTTAAATAAAGGTAACACGCAAAACGTTAAAAAACGGCTTTTTGTGAGTAATATAAAACCTGAAAACTTTCAGTTTTTTTTTTTTTTTTTTTTTTTTTGTGTGTGTTTAATTTTATTACGATTTAAAACTGGTTTCTAAGGGAAACTGGCTCGTATACACGTTACACATGGGGAAAGCCACGAAAACGCCGATGCGGCCAGCTCGTTCGCGGGATCCGAACCTCGGACCAAACTACTTGCGTTCAGCGACTCTGCCGCTCGTGGGCTTATTAGCAGAATTATACTGCATTATTACTGTAAAGAATTATTATTGAATTGTACTGCATTATTATTGTATGCTATAAAGTAACAATGCTGTAAGCCTGAGGGTTTGTTCGCGGAATAGTACTTTCGTAATCTATTAGTATTAAAAAATAATTTTTTCTTTGCAAATGTAAAATATTTATATACTGTTCATATCAGAGTTCTCATTTTTATATTGTAAATGAGATATTACTATTAATTTTCTATTTAATGTGTCGAAACGCGGGTTTGACTAGGAGGGGACCTACCCTGATTATTTTTACTCTAGTACTTGCATTGTGAAAATAATATTACTATCTTTTAATTATTTTCACAGAATAAAATTTTTTGAAAATGAATATTTAAAATAAGCAGTTCTAACATATAAATAAGAAATTAAAATAATGTAATATTAAAAAAGTATTAGTAACTGTATGACAAAAATTGCAATTAATCACATATACTGGATAGATTAGTATAATTTTGTATATACATTTTATATTGGAAAAATATTTTCTTATTTTTTAAGTTATAATGTTTATTATAGAATAAATTATTTAAAATAAAACATTTTGATGCGTGTGTGATAGTTGAATGCAGCAGCAATCGGCGATACTGTAACAGCGAATGAATTTTATTTCTTTTCCTGAAAGAAATAATTTTTATAGAAAAAGAAAATAAGAAAAGGAAAGAAAAATTAAGAAATATTTTCTTTGTAATTTCTTAAGAAAATATTTTTCTAATATTAACTGTAAAGTAAATTGCGTGAAAATAGTTTTAAATGTAAGCATGGGAAGGAAAAAAAAAAAAACTTATTTTGCTATTAGATTGTAATGCAAATTAATCATATTATAAATTTAAATGATTAAAATTGTTTATTTTTAAAACGATTTAAGTAAGCTTAATTCATTTACTCTCATCTATTTACCGTTGCTTCCATGGTATCCCACATCACTCTTAGCCCTAAATTCCTGCGTTAACTTTTTTCTTAAAAAACAGGATTTTCCTTCACATAACATAGCAGCATATTCTGCTGGATGTTGGTCATAATACTATTGTGTGCCATTTTTTTCGAACTACAAATGCAGTGTGCGAGTTAGTGAAACAATGAAAGAATATTCTAGAACTTCAGCCAGCGCGCGCTATAAATTTCGTCACTGGTCTGTGCTGCGATTGGTCTAAGGCTCCTTGAAGCTTTCCCCCTTTCAGTAATAGTCAAATGGACCCACCCGCCCACCAACCAACCGAGGACCACAGAATGACTTTCTCCGATAAGTTGTGATGGCTGTCTGATGTTTTGTTTAGTTAATAGTGTTCGCTCAAGTTGTAGACAGATCCAGTGATCATAGAATAGGCGTCCTGGTTTGAAGAAATGCACGATATTGCATGTGACAGAGTTAACGATGGAGAATATGAAGATCCGATATGACACGTGAGGTACAGGACATCGATTCAACGAAGAAAAGGTGTGGTTGATGAATCACATTGGACAGAAAGGACTGTCCTAAACTAGTCACCTTGGTATGGTCGATACACAGTCCTAAACGGGCTGAACGACATCGTAGTTCGGATCCGCCATCGAAGTCTAAGCCTAAAGTCATCCATTACAGCAGGATATCTCCTTACTATGGCCAAAGTATATGTACGTAGTGTATATAACATAATCTATAATAAGACTATGGTCCTTGGTTTCTAAATTTGTAAATTTATGCACGGAATTTGTTGATTTGTATTCGATTTAATATCAAGTACACTTGCAATTATTTTTTATGTTGTTCATTATTGTATTGTAATGTTTATTATTGTATTGATACTTTAGTTTTAAATATGCCTTCCTGTCGAGGAACCACTGCCCGGGATGTGCAGGCCTTGGGAAGGGAGCAGCATTACGAAATTTGTATTTAGTCAGATTGATTTATTTTCTCGTACAATGCAGCACCAAACACAATTAAGAGAAAGCTACGCAGGAAAATTAAAATACAGGAGCATCCCAATTTAACATTGAATAAAAGATTCTCGTAATTTGTATTTTATTTGAATAAATGTAAATTGACTACTTTGTTAGCTATAACAGTAATTCTCTTTCGCTTTTTCGAAATCTCGATGTGCAGAAATTTAATAGAAATTTCTCGGGACATTTAAATCTATAAAAAGCCAGACAGGGAACATGTCATCTCGGTTGTTTAGTTAGCTGCTGTTATTATCGATACGATTAGCTTTTCTGTGCATTGTAAATTGTTCCATTTAACGTTTTAATAGTTTAAAATGTAGCTACTGATTATATTGCGTGATATTGTGCGAATATCTATGAGGAAAAATTCAGCGTTCTGTTAATTTTTTTTTGATAAGAATAAATTTTATTAACCTTTTGTTGGACTTGTGCATTCAATCTATTACGAACCCATACGCACGCAACACATTTTTGGTGTCAGTAGCGGGACTGAATGCCAAACAAGAGCGATTGAGGAACAGTTAAGGCAGTTAAAGAAAGTCTCTGCCGTTCAACAACAAATCAAACAAAAAATTGGTGACAGGGTTTCTGCGGTTACCAAAGAAGTTGATATCTTTAAGAAATTGATATCGACGGTAGGGAGCAATAGTAATGGTTCTAAATTTTTACCCATGCCTGCTCAATCCCCTCTGAACATATCCGAGTACGATGGGAAGACCTCCTGGAAAGTAAGATAATTTTCTATAGTGGCAGATTCGAATGGATGGATCTTGTACTTCCCAGAAATCTCGAGAAGCAAAAATTCGTCGCGACCGATTGAAAGCTATAAAAATCCAGTTAGAGCAAGTCTCAGCTCAGTTGCTTAGTTAGCTGCTGGTAATATTGATGGGATGAGCTTTCTCTACGCTGTGTATTGCGTTCTACTTAACATTTTCGTAGTTTGAAGTAAAGCTGCTGAATATATTACATGATAGTGCATGAATATCTCTAAGGAAATATCCAGCGTTCTGTTACATTTCTTTAGATAAGAATAAATTTTATTAGCCTTTTATTGGACTTGTGCAATCAATCTAATACGAACCCTTACGCATGCAACAATATAAAGGTTGATTGGATTGGATTATTGTAATTTGGCACAAAACCTGTTAAGGTTATCTGCGCCAGACAAATGGTAACAATGCTATTAGTCATTTGTAAAAACTTCCAGCTTAGGTAAGAAGAGACAGATTACAGTCTATGATAGAGCCGATATCTTAAAAAACAGGTTAAAGTCTATTATAGAAGCCAATATCTTTTAAAAACAAACAAATTACGATGTGTTTTTCCAATTAAATTTCCTAAGTCCAGTTCTGAGCAATTAAAATGTTTTTGGCGAAAATAATTAAAACTGGCATTCCACCAAGATATGATGGACTGTCAGATCTGCATTGCAGTTTGGGCAGCTAGGATTCTCTTCTCCCTTCAGAAGATACTCATGGGTCAGGCGACAATGGCCAATTCTCAGTCGAGTCAAGAGGACATCTTCCTTTCTATTAGCCATACATGACCAGTATACAACGGTGGGTTTTACATTTCTCAGCTTGTTATATACTTTGTCATCCCATTGCTTCTGCCATTTGCTGAGGATTTTGCTTTTAACAAACCCTTTGATGTCTGCTAGTGGAATCTGAAGATTGTACATTGTGGTTGCAGTTTTAGCTGCAATATCCGCAATTCATTCCCCTTAATGGCAACGTGTTAAAGGTTGAAGTTTAGGTTTGTTATTAGATTTAGGCAATTTCGTTTGCGAAGTACTTTTAATGACAATTTTTAACCAATTTATTGTCTTTCAACTACATATTAGTGTAAAAGTTGGTTTTTTTTTCTCAAATTAAGGTTTGAGTTTTATAGCAAAAATGAATACTTGAGCACAGGTAAAATAATTTATATTCTTAGAACCTTAACATTTTAGAGTAGAAGTAATTTTGAATCGGTATTTAAATAAATTGTTCGTTATTCATTCAATGTTTCTGAAGTAAAAGAACATTTCGAATTCATTTAACAAAATTGAGACATTTTGCAAAAGAATAAACACACAATATGAAAAATAAAGTTTATTGCTTTGGGTATTAGAGATTATGAAAAATCTAATCTTTCCTCCTTAATTGTTTCCAATACATCAAAATATACTCCGTCTAATAGCTCAAATACTTCTGTGAGTTGATGCAGACGGTCATCATGAGACTTCGGGCTGCCCCGTACTCTGAAAGTTAAAATAGTATTATTAATTCTCACATTTATTAACAGCAGCATTTAGAAACAGTGGCCATCAGTTTAACAGCTAGTCATATTACTACGAAGTCGCTATATTGATTTAGATCTATATTGTCTAGATTCTTTAAAATTTCGCTATATTGATTTAGTTTCTTTAAAAGTCGCTATATTATCTATTAGTTTATTAGTCGCTATATTGATCTATATTCTTTAAAATTCAGTTTCATGGTTGAATATTTTGCAAAATTATAAACTGTTCAAAAAGGTATTTTAAAGTTTGGAACTTCTTGCTTGTCCATTATCAATCACACAGGATAAACTTCGAGAAAGGAGCCTTTTAATAACGCCCAAGATTTCTGGATTCGAATGAAGATTTCTTTTATGAGAGAAATGGGAGAAACTCTTGATTACAGAACTTGAATCCGTTTTTATTCGATCATATAACTGTCCTGTTAATGGCAATCTGCAGTTGTCTCTAGATACACGACATGTCTGTACCTTGGCAGTTTCTCTGCAAGTCATCGACATATAAAGTACCAGATACGATTGGAGAAATATTCTTCTGAATTGCATTTATTTTAACATTAAAAGTTTTGCACTCAGTGCACAAGCCTTTGGCATTCCCTCTCCTTAGTAAAAGAATTTATACAGCACACAACCAATTTTTACTTGAAACAGCCAGTCTTTTCATGAACTTCTGAATGAAATTTGGATGTTTTCCCCGTAGGCCACAATGTATGTATGTGTGATTATGGCAAAGCCTCGAGGGCTATCTGCCTAAGGGGAGAGATGCCTTCGTGGAGGCCTTTCCAAGGGAAACTGGCTCGTATACACGTTACGCATGGGGAAACCACGAAAACACCCATGCAGCCAGCCCGTTCGCGGGATTCGAACCTCGGACCGAACTACCAGTGTTCAGCGACTTTACCGCTCGGCCGCTGGTGGGCTGTAGGCCACAATGATAAAGATCTTTGTGAATTCCATATCTTATATGCTTTTTTCCTGTCGAAAAAACCGACACTAAATGGTTTCTCTTAAGAAAGGCGTTACGAACTGCGGTCTTAAGCAGAAGCACATTATCAATTGTCGATCGGCCTTTCCCAAAACCCACTTTAGCTTGGTGATAGTTAACCACTTTTCTCCAAAAAATGGACAAAGCGACTACTTACCATTTCTCCAGAAGCTTGCATACGCAGTTGGTGAGAGCGATAGGACGATAATTTGATTGCTTCCTTGGGTTCTTTCTAGATGTCGCTATGGGGATCACTATAGCATTTCGCCAAGAAATTAGGGAGAAACGCCTATATTCTGTTATGCAAAAAGAGATATTTAGTGAATCATTGTACAATTGATTCAACATGACATAGGCAATGCCATCATGGCCAGAGTTCGTCACAGGCGTTAGCGATAAAACTCTGCTCATCTCCAGCATAGTGAAATCAGTGTTATATGCTTCTGTATTGGACGAGTTAGAATTGATGGATGTATTCTCATAAAATTTAGCCGAGAGGAATGCTGGCAGTGTTAAACATAGAAAATGCCGTGGTTCGCAAAACATTTTTATTAGTGAGATATGCAGAGTAATACGCAGAGTTACATGCAAGCAGAATAGAATAATACTAAGCAAGCAGAATAACAGAATAATACTAAGCAGCGATAAGTGGTTACAAAGGTTATATATATAACTTTACAACAGATCATGGTTTAACAAATCATAAACAAGACACAATAAATAACCAATCAAAAGTAACATACAGAATGAGATCTAAGTTTCAGAATAACTCGGACCTGGCTGAAAGCTAATGAATGTTTCGGACTTGACAGAAAGCTATACTTCCTTTTAACCAGTAAGAATGCGATTACAAATATCTCAACAGGCAGATAATCAGTTCTATATGACACAGCACTAAACTTCTCGGCTGTGATATTAGCAACATCTTTTCTGCTGCTAAAGTTAAGCCACCCATTTCCAAAATGGGACGTCCAAATGATCCTTATAAGTAAAGGAGACTTATTTTTTGCAAACATACTTGGTTGGAATGGGAAATGTAATGGATGAAAGAATTGATCCAAGCATCCTATCTTTGGCGTCGCACTCTCCGAGCATTTGCCTTTCTGTAAGAGATAAGATTGCTAAACGTCAGATACCTGCGGAAAATTCCATAGGCTTTTCTTTGCTGTCCGACAGCCTGACAGTCATAGTTCCACCATTGTTTGCGATAGTTAAGAAGGCTGTCTGACATGGGTTTGGTTTATTAGATTACGGCAAAGCACTCAAGGGATATCTGCCTTAAGGGAGGGACGCCTTCTCGGAGGTCGTTTTAAGGGAAACTGGCTCGTATAATGGTGAAAACCACGAAAACACCCATGCAGCCAACCCGTTCGCGGAATTCGAACCTCAGACCGAACTACCAGTGTTCAGCAACCCTGATGACATGGGAATAGAGATTTTAGCTGTCTGAACAAGAGTATCAGTCACAGCTTTCACAGCTCCATCTATTGGCACTTTTTCTGCCACGTTATTAGTGAGCATAGCCAAATCAGAAAACATTTCCCAGCCTGCTTGTTTGTAAATAAAACGTGGTGACGTGAAATTGGGGGATGCTATATCTCGATTAAAAATCACGTAGATAGGGAAATGTTCACTAGTAAAAGTGTCGTTCCCAACTTTAAATGAGCAACACGGGATAAGTGATGTGAACAAATGGCAAGATCGGTACTGTGATATGTCCTCGTGGGTTGGTGCAAAAATGTTATTAAGGAGGCACAAGTAGTGATCATTAATAATGTCTTCCATTTGTTTTCTCCGAAGAGTTATATCACCATTACCACAGATGTGATTACGATAATTGAAATCTCCAAATACAATGAAAGGAGCAAGCAGCTGTTTTACCAAATTATCAAATTCATTTTTATTTATCACTTCATCAGGGTAGTAATAGATGATAATGACTAGCATTCTGTCATCGATCTGCGTTGGAAGCCATCATAGCGGTGAACTCACTACAACAGCTTGAAGGCGTGTTGAAAGGAAAGACAGTCGAAGGGTTGACATGGGAGGTGGGGACAGCAAAACCTCCGCTAACGCGCTCACCACACACGTTTTTCTTGACAGCTTCCCGACCTCCGCAACTTAGGTGTGCTATCTTGCTTGAGAAATCTCTTGTACTCCAAAAACAGGAAGAGGGATAAATATCAATCAGGCTTTTGATGATCACTAGACCTTTATGAAATCCACGACAGTTTCAAGATTTTGAGGTAGCCATCATGAATATTTATTTTGCCCATGCTGCTTCTTAGGCGTGGTAGACTTTTTGGTGGAGCTTAATCCTTCTAATTCCATTGCTGATAACACTCTAATGTACGACCAGAATTTACCGTTTTTAATCCTACGTTATTTGAAGAGAACTTTGTTTTTAATATTAATTACTTCAGTTTTTTTACGGGTTGGTGCATCTTCAATACTGGCACATAAATTGCTATTTTGCCTTTTGTATGGTACTTCAGTTTTAGTGTTTGTCTGAATAGATTTTGTTGCATCGGCAAAACTCACATTTTTGACGAGGTTAAGTGCTTTCAAACAATATGTTAGCTTCTTTATTTGATAACCTTTTATTGCGCTTTGGATTTCCATTTGGGACATGAACGAGAGACAGATGGGAGACTGTCTTTAGAATTAACACAAAGAGGTTTGAAAGTGCAACAAGCGCATGTAAGGTTATTCCGACATGCAGCTGTTAAGTGCGCAAACCGCTGGCATTGAAAAGAATGCCTATGATTTGGCACATACGGTTGCACCGGGCAATGCAAACACCCTGCTTTGATGTGATTTGGAAGTTGAGTGTTAAAGGTCAAAATAATGTGTTTAGTATCAATTAACTGATCATGCTTTCTGATTTCAATATGACGAACACTGGCAAAATTCTACTCAATTTCGGGAACGCATTTTTCGCTCGACACTGTTAATAGGTCATTTTCTGATTACACGCGACGACTGGATTCAGTTGTGTGCAGAAACCGTAACAGCAACTTGTCCCATTTTTGACATAGTAAGAAGGGTCTTCTACTGATTAACAATTTCCTTTAATAATTCCCCAGACCGTAAGTGTTTAATTGGTCTTGATTCTTCAGCAAAGGATTTAATTTTGGAACCAGGAAAGGTGACATTTTATGAAACTCGGCAGATGTGGTCATACCACAAAATCGGGGAACTACAGCGTTTTCTATAATTTCCGTAGTTCGAGGTCTTTTAAAGATTCCTTGACATTTTCAAGAAATTAAAATTTGTGAAGCCATATTTGAAGGAAATAAAAATTCGGACCTGGCGTCCCCACCCACATGGGAGTCCAACAAAGGGACGCAGATTCCTGCGCCAAGGATAACCAGGTCTATATGTAATCAATCCCCACAGTCGGCTTTCCCGAAAGCAGGTACTTCCGAGAGCTTATCCCCAAGTCACTGACACAAGGACTAATGAACAGCAGATTGACACCCCTCGAGGACGTCAAGGTGCCTTCCGTTTAGCTGAAGCAAGGGCCAAAGCAATTCGTTTGAGACAGTACCTCGACACTCAATTACCAGGACCCTCCTTTCCAGTGACACAAATCTCCACGTAAGGCGAAGACGTGGGTAGTTTTCTCGCCATTTGGAAAACTAGAGACAAGGGCTGTTCCAGCTTCTCATGAAGAGCTCCAATCTCCGAAGAGGAGAACCATAAGGGAGAAAGGAAGGAAAACGTTTCAGCTAAGGAGAAAGGACATGGAAAAGAGGATAGATCACTGGGGCTCACGGATCATGACACCCGTCTCGCAAAGATTATCCCCGAAGGGCTAGGATATCTCGGGATTGCCACACCCGTACTCATTAAAAGCGATTCCGGGGGCCTTGTTGTGACGAACTGAATGTAATATGGCTAAAATTGCGGCTCTTTCGAAACGGCTTGAGAAACGCATTGTGGTTTATCGATATCAGACGTCGTTCACAAAAAGAGAAACGTAATAAGCACATTTAAAGGTTATCACTATACATAGGACGTTTACATAATTTTAGAACGATTTCGATGAAGAATCAAAAACTGATGCTTTGGCATAACATCTGTCAACAACGTATTTCAAAAGAGATATCGTCTGCTACTTTAAAATGTTTTCAAGATGTCGCATTTAAACAATCTTTTGATTGAAGAGTTTTGTACTAGCAGAAAACAAATATTCATATTCTGTAATACAAATAAGTTCTGAAATGTAGGATATTAAAACATCTAAGTGAAAAATAAAGTATTGTTAATCGCAGTACTGAATCATGTGGGTCACCTCAGAACAGGTTGTAAAACCCTGTATGAAAACTAATTAGAAAAGACAAATGGAAATTCATTATTAGCCTTGATGAAATAGGGATTTACCCAAGTGACTGCAACAGATTTATTGGAAACGAAAAGAGTAAACCTGACTCCGTGATTGTGATGAAAGTTTCAGCAAGAGGTATATGATTATTTGATTGTCGCAGGATTCTTACATAGTGAGAAATTCAAAATGAGAATAGCGTAAAAATATTAAAATCAACGTTACTATCAAGAAAAGTTTTAGGTCTGAAATGTAAAGAAATTCTATTTTTTTTAATACTGTGACTTTCAAAGAGTGAAACTTCAACAAGATAGAAAATATGTCGTACTCAGAAAAAAAACCATTGCATTCTTGAAAGACAGATACAGATGACAAATCTTCAACGTATTCCCGTATGCCCCTAACGTTTCAGCTATGAACCATTGTGTCTTTGGTCTCTTAAAAAGAACCCTTTCTAAGCATATATCCACCGCAATTGATGGATTCTGGAAAGCAGTGAAAGAGGCATGAAACGAACGGACCTGGAAATTTTACGGAAGCCCTATCACGGAAACATTGCAAACTTTGTAGTCTTGAAAAAGGCTATCATAGACCATTTTAATGAAATACTCTATACTTGAAATAAATAGCCCCGGAATCCCTCTAAAAATTCAATACTCTGCATTTGAATCTGAATGAAGTTAGAATCAATATATAACATGCTTCTATATCTCTTATTTTATCCAACAATATATAAGCAAAGGTAAAATTGTGAAATTTTAATTCAAGAAATATTAAAAATTACCATTTTATTTTTGAGGAAAATGAAACTTCATCATTGAAATCGTAATTTAATATATTCGCATATTTTTACATAAGAAACTAATGTACGTAAGAAAATGTACGTAAGATTGTCTAAAAAATATTCCTATTGAATAATATTCTGAAATAAATGTAGTTTAAGAAAATTCGTTACTCTTAAGGCTAAAGTACCTTTAATATCTTCGAAACACTAAAACGAATGGTATGTTTTTAACCCTGCAGCTGTAACGTAGACAGTTCTCTCGTAAGCTGCAAGGTGAGGTGTCCCTACACCATGATAAACGCTTACCAAATTTGTATTTGAGGACAGAATAACATAACGCCATCCAAAACATTTTTTCAGAACTTTAATGTGAACTAAGTGTGAATAACCCAATTTAAATCTTATAACATACATAAATGAACAAAAAACTTTTTTTAAACTTACACCTTCCAAACCTGCTGCTTACTCGATTTCGCCATCTGTCACTTGAGGCTGAAGACACTCTGCGCAGATAGAGGGCATATGGCTCATACACATGAATTTGTAGCACTTTTTACAATAAGTTATAATTTCAATAATCTTTAATAATCAATAAGTATTTCTACCCCAACGTTACAGTTGCAGGGTTAAAGAAATTTTAATTTTTGAATTTAACAAAGGAACATTGAGAACATATCGCAACTTACCTTAGCCACGTAATATATCTGATGGAATGGATGCAGAAAAGCATGATCTGCAATAGAAATTACATTACAATTAACGAAAAGTCTGAGAATTTCATTTCAGCACTTCTGTAAAAGGTGTAAAATTATTTCAGGCTTTAGGACAAGGCATGATAAATTTCAATGGAATTTCATTTTCCGAGTGTATAAATGGCAGAATTAACTTTTATAAGTAATTCTGCCCATAAGATACACCCCGGTTTCCATTGCCCCATTTTACGCTTAATCGCTATAACGCTTTTAGTGATCAATTTGTGGAAATTCAAAATTTCACATTTTGTATCAAAGCAATTGTTACTTTTCAATTAGAATAATCAAAAACATCACTAAAACTGAACTGCAGATCAGGTAATGGGTACGATACGAACAATTAGCGTATAGAAGAGATGCGAGAGCGATGATCCCTGCCTCGCTACGATTCAATGCGGCGTGCGCGGTGATTTCCATCAAATGGTCTCTCGCTCTCTACTCAGCATATTGCTTGGCTTGTGTTTAGCCGAGACTTCACTACATAATTTATCGAAATGCAGATTTTCAGTCTTTATAGTTTTGAAAAAATAATCGTTTTTAAGCTATACGTTGAGATATTTTCTTTTAATACTATGTTCGGAAATAAAACCGGAAGTGATACGTCGATTGGAAGGTGGCGGGGGGGGGAAGTTAAAATCACATATTCCTTAATCTTAAAATTTTCAACTATACGAATAACCATGCAAAATTAAAAAATTAAGTATGCAACATTATCAGATATGTTAGCATAAAAGGAATGAAATGACGGAACTTTGTTTTTGTAAAACCATTGTACTTAACCATTTTTATCCCTCACAGAAGAAATTTTCCTCAAATGAAGTCATAATACTGGGAAAATCAAAAAGCACTTAATTTTCTACAAGAAACGAGTAACACACTGAATGTTTTTGGGGCTAGTTGAGAACGGTTTGATAGACTCAAGAAATAAACGTCCACAATTTGAGGATTACTGACAATAAAGCTATGCAAGTATTTCCACAAAGTTTAAAGAAAATTATTACTGATGGGAGCCTTTCATCACAGGCAGATTTCATTGATGATAAAGTGATCTATCTTGGAAAAGGACGCCATCACGTGCACACATTTACGACACAAAAAACTTCCGGATTTAAAGCAGAATCATCTTGCTTTTAGGAGGTAATGTGCAAAGTGATTTTAAATTCAAATGTTTGTGCATCATTCTGAAACATTACTGCCATTGAATAGAAGGGACAAATAAATACGTTTCGTGATTTAGAGAACAACCAGAAAAGTTTGGAATCGCAACATAAGTTTTTGAAGATAAATTCATTTATAAATCCTATTCATTAATAAAGGGTTATTGAGATGAAATTTTTAAATCAAATCTTTTGATAGGTTAACTTACAGGCCACCAAAACATCTGCCGCCAAACAGATGGTCAGTTATACAACCTATGGATCAGTGTGAAATATTGAACTTTTAAGCAAGCTATTTGCGACAAACGTTTTAATATTTAATTCACAAAACTGACTAATGTAGCACAAGTGAGAATAAATTTAAACATGCTTGGAACAAAATGACTTCAAACTATGAGTAGTTTTGAAAGATTTTGCAGAGAAATTGGCGAAATTATTTTCGAAACTATGGAGAGCAATGAAATTATACTCAGATGAAGGAAAGCAGTTGAAGGCATTAAGAATTAACTGGAATATCATGATAAAAGCCTATTCAATGAAGACAAATTTTACAGATAATAGAAATGGATCAGAAAGCAATTCATGTGTTGAAAATTCTTTAGAAAATACTGCTGAAGAAAAATGAAAAGATTTATAGATTTCTTGAAAAAGAGCATTGTAACTCCTAACAAAAAATGCACGAATTTTTGGAACATAATCCAAATTTGGATCATACTTTAAAGTTGAGAAGAGGAATTTTAGATTCCATTAGTTAATAAAGGATTTCGAGGCAATGAACAAGCAAAACAAATCACCTCCAATTTCTTTGAAAAAGTTTAGAATATTTATGTAACTAACTAAGAATTCCCTGTTAAAGTACATGTGTAATTAAGTCATCAATTGTGTATATATACATAAAGCTATTTTTTTTATTTTGAAACCTGTATTTCTGTTACCGTTTACCTTGTTTCATTTTTGTTTGCAATACTTCATACAGTAAAAATTGATTCCATTTTACGTTTATTCGATTAACGCTTTTACTCACCGATTAAGAGAGCGAATCGGGGTATTAATTTATTTCCAAATTTTAGTTACAAAGCTCGTTGCTAAAATTTTGTAAGTACTTGGGGTATTAACCTGCACTCATCTAATACACGGTCTCAGGTAGGTCTTTTACTTAGGGTGGGAAGTACACGTGTTCTTGAAGTTTCATTGCAATCCTACAGTCTGAACATGACTTCTATTTATAAACAGTTTGAATACAATTTTAATCGCCTGAGTGAACCTAACAAACAACTGATTGAAGATAGTTTCAGTCTTCGCAAACATGATTTGAATTATAAGGTCAAGAAAAATTTTTACTTACCAGGTATCCTTTATCAAATTGTTTGGGTAGGTCATGCCTGCAATAAAACAATTTGTAACTGAAGAGAAAAGTCCAAAGCAAAAATACCAAGCAAGATAGAAGTTTCCAGGCATTTTATGGTTTAAAAGTTAACGTTTTAAGAAAATGCTTACCCGAAGAGGTACCAATCATATGCTAGCGTTAAGTAAGACATCTCTATAGGATTTAACGATTTGTGGATCAAGCCATCAGCCCAAAGTGACAAACGTAAAAGGGTTATGAAGAGTGGCGTCTTATCAAAACCTCTATTGCCCTGGACAAGGATTGCCTTTTCGGCTGGGAAAAAGACATAATGTCAACTTATGCAGTTAATAACTTTGACAGTTAATTGGTAGACAAACAGTTAGCTGATATAAACACAGAGGCAATTAGTTGAGATATTTAATTCGAAGTCAACCATACCATACATAGCACATCCTGATGCAATTCTCTGAATTTCTCAAGAACTCAAACGATCTATTTTAATTGGAATATTTTAACAAATCTTAAATTACATAAAAATATTTAAGATAACATTCGTTTCCTATTATATACATTCAAGTTTAGATTGCATAAAGTTTGCTTCCAGTTTTTTAAATTTTAGTTTATGTGCCACTTTCATGTAAATTCGTGAAAGGTGGTGTATTTAATTATGGCAAAGCTGACTAGGGCTATCTGCCTAAGGGAAGGGATGCCTTCGTGGAGGACTTTCTAAGGGAAACTGGCTCGTATACACGTCACACATGGGGAAAACCACGAAAACAACCGTGCAGCCAGCCCGTTCGCGGGATTCGAACCTCGGACCGAATTACCAGTGTTCAGCGACTTTACCGCTGGTGGGCCAATTTCGTGAAAGGGAAAAAATTCCTGACGTAATACCAGAAATTCAGTTCAGGTTTTGTAAGCGTCTTAATGCAAGCTCTAAGACATTTATTCTAGACTCAGCAAGTTTTCAAACTTCAGCTATTTGATTTCAGCTCACTATTTTAACAAGAGTCTAACCTCAATCCCGAACTTCACACCACGAACAAATTATATAAAAGAAAAGACTCAACTGACGACAAGAGTCTAGTTAGAAACATTAAAATCGGTAAGAAATTCTTTCCAAAGTGTTTGAAGTAACTAGTAAACAGAATTAACTCTCGAGGACTTGTTGAAACATTGATATTTTCTTTTGTTTAATTCCCATTAATAAAACCAGACAGCAAGTAACTTACAAAAATATGAATTCGGCCTGAAATCTGGAGAAAATGATCAGATGGTATTGGAGGCAAACAACTCTTAATTTTAGACTTACTATACAAAATATTGCAAATATAAGCAAGACCGAGGGCTTTGAAATTACCAGTGAAGATATGAAATTGCTAGAAGATCATAAACACAAGCTCAGCTAGTAACTGCAACAACTTTACAAATAGTAACAAGAGACAACTGTAGGAAATGCTTTCAGAGGAAGAGAAAAATATTAGTTCTTCGATCTGAAAAAGTTTTACAAAATGTTGGCAGGATGCAAAGTTTCAGTTAACGATATCACCCACGTAAAGCAGTAACAAGCTACAATGTATGCATCTTCAGTGACAATGTCATCTCACTTTAGGAACATTTTAAACAAATCATCTCTAATAGCAGAGAATAAAGGCTTATGAATATATTGTGGTGTAGTGGCCGAATACACTAGCTAGAGCTCCAGATGTAATACAGGCTTGAAATAAACTTCTAACTCAAGTTCTAACTATAACCTGGCTTTTTAAATAAAATCTTTTAAAATTTTTGTTCATGTCGATGGGAACTTGGATACATTGTCTCCCAATTTCAGTAACAAGCTACAAAGACAAATTAATCAATTACAGATTTCATCTATGAGAAAAATAATTTTGCATGATGAACTACCTAACGACCTTCAGAAAGCAATTGCATTCGTGAATCAAAGTTTCACCATATCTATAATATTATGCAAGTAAAGCATGAAATCTTTTAAAAGCGCAAAACTAGGTTTATTCCCTGGTTACGGATTACTCAATTTTGAATTAAAACAGCATTTAAAAATAAGTAAATTATACTCACTAGAAGTTACATAGTTCAATAAGAGGGAAAAATAATTGAAAGTAAGCATAACAACTTTCCATTCCTAGGAAATAAAAATACATTAAAATTAAATACATAAGCTAAATATAGATCAACATACTCAAACTATAATAATATCTTAAATTCAAGACATTCAGGAAGTTGAAAAGCCGTTTCATATACTACAGCTAGATATCTGTGTGCAATGATCGAAGCTGACATTCATATGAATTTAAAATTATAAGGGTAGGATTTAACGAGGTTTGCGGCTTCGCAAGTTTTCTTAATGACTATAATTTCAGAACATGAGCAGAATGCTTCATGAATAAGCGTACTCGATAGCTGTAGATATCTGCTTATATAAGCTGGATTTCTGTGAAGGAATAAATTAAAATTTTTCTGAAACAATACTCTACAACATACATTGTTCATCTAAGACAGAAAACCCTCGAATAACAAGCTTTTATGTTTGCTAATCAAGGCATTTTAAGCATTGAATCTAGCTATCAGGTCGCATTCAAACTCGTAGTGCGAACAAATTTTTCTCGAGATAAAAATTCGCTTGACTTTTTGTTCAAAATTTTTCTGACTGCATCTGCCGGAACTATCACAACAATCCGGCAAATTAGAATCTATCAATGAAGATGACTAAAAGACGCACTTCCTCAAGAGAGACAATGACTTAATGGACAACTTAATAGACTAAAGGCAGGTTTAATACAGCTGCTAACGTTCTGGCAGTTTGGCTAGTTCCACTTGTGACGTCTAATGTACAATTGCTCTGCTTAGGTCACTATTTTGTATTTACAAAGATAGCGTGTACATTTTCCTATTTGGAATACTTTGCATGTTAAGACTAGGCCATAAGCTGTATGTCTGGAATCTTCCAAAGTGAATCAGTTGACAGCTTCGACGGGAAATGAATTATTTGGCCGAATGCAAAGGGAAGCAAGTTAAATTTCCACATGTTTAAGGAATTCAACATTATCGTTTCCATGAAAACGACTAAACTCGTTACGAATGCATTCTACTGCCGCCGACATCCCGAAATTGCCGACATGGAACAAGTAACGACTTGCAAGGCAACTCATTACAACAGATCATACAACCCTTCTGCGGACACGTGAAATAAATTCAGAATTCTCTGGGACAACTGAACACCCAGAGCCGTCGCACTCCGGCAGTTCAACGCAGAATCCCCAGCTAGTCAGGAAATGAGGACAAAAAACTCAAATTCAAGCCAAAGCACAAGACCAAATCACTTCATGCTCAATATATACCGTTGCCTTCTTGGGAAGAGATGGCGCACGAGACTGCCAAGGAGCAAGTTTAATTGTCCGCATGACAACCAAACAAGGACTGTCGGACACAGCAATCTTGCCCTCAGCCAAAACAATTCCCAGTCTAGAAAATGTAGAGACAGCTAACCATAAAGACTTACAATAAACACCTCAGACTACAATAATAGACTTCTGCCTCATCTGGAAACAGATGACACTTTGAGGACTCTTACCAACAGAAAGTTTTCGACTACCAATTTGTCAAAGGGTTTCTCACCAAATTTTAATTACACAAGTCCTCCCCGAAAAGGACATCAAGAGTTTCACACAAATGCTACCTTATTATAAGAAACCGAAGGTAGTCATTTGAAACATACCATTATCTGCATCCATGATTGAAGTAACAGATGCACTCGGTTTATTTGATAATAAAAAAGCACTTTAGGGTTAATGTGTCTAAGGAAAGACGTCTTCATGGAGAACATTTTAAGAGATTTGCCTAGTTTACACATGAAGACAATCATGTAGTCATTCCCTTCGATTGGAATCGAACATGGATCGGAACTACCCGTGTTCAGCAACTTCGTAACTCAAATCCTGGTAATAAGGAAGTGGAAGACAAGGGACATTAAATTGTGGAGCAATTCCTTTTGAAAAGCTGGTTTCTATAGTTAACTCGGCCAAGTGTTTAGGATTCAAGTTAAATCGTTCCTTCACATGGTCAGCAAATATTAAGAGGTATAGTCTACGAAATGTTTAGGAAACTTTCCCCCCTCCTCCCCCCAAGAGAAATATCTACACAGCTATTATCCAGACATATTTCACTTCTCACACATACGAGACCTGTAAAAAAAAGACCTGAAGAAAATAAAATTCTTCAAAACTAGTTTTTGCGGATAAACAGTGGTGCTTCTTAAAGATCTGAAAATTGAAATTTTTAAGGATTACCTTAAGAAGCATAACAAAACTTTCCATACCAAGGGCGCACTCAACAGTGCAGAAAATTTCATGCAAAGTTTGCTCTATGAAATTACTCCAGAGACGTTTTCATTTGTTTATATCCACTGCATCTCCTAACATAATTCGATTTATTTAAGCAGAACCCTTCAGTTTCATGCAAGTAATATAAATTATGCAAATCAATAATTTACATCTCATTAAAGTCATACCATTTCTTTATTGTATTCTTTTGAAAGTACAGTATTAGTGCATTAGTGTCATGACAATCGTATCTGATAACAGGTTAACAGCTTGAGACATCGAACCTGTTTCGCCTCAACGCTCACGTGAGTTGAGATCTAGCACAGCTACCTTAGCCATCTCTTACCAGAATTCCGACACTATCTCAGCAATCTCATTTTCAGACTTGCCCCATATCTCTGGGTTTTACACTGTGCCTAAACTTTCACTTCTAAATTCTCATGTTCTAGGAAGTATTGTTATGCAACACTAAAATCTCACGCTTTACTTGGAAGTCTTAAATTCTCTGAAAAATGTTCCAAAAGTAACAAAAATTGAAGTAACTTTTGCAGTATCTCAAATTTTTACAAAATTTTAGATTTTCTGAAAGGCCATTAGTATGCTATTTCTCGAAGGAAAAGTAATGACTATAGAATTTCAAAAAGCTGCAAGGAAATTTCATAAACATCACAATTAAAACACCATAGAGAAAGTATCAATCGAAATTATATTATCTATTAAATAAAAATCAGATCACATATTTATATCAAATTTAACTTGGAATTATTAAGTCATTTCAGAAGTCAAATACTTCCAAAATTTCTTTGCAGTAACAAAGTTGTTACATTCATATGAAAATATTTTAATGCCTGGTTAGACTTATTCATAAAGAATTTGCTAATTTTTAACCCAAAATATCTATTCTGACATTTTCCGGTAACAGCTCACTCCGGCTAATAAGTCAACTCGGTAACTATTTTTGCAATTAGTAAAGGTGCCAGATTAATGAGGTAACCCTCTAACGACCCCAAAAAATTCAGCACAATTAATTCATAATTATGAAGAAAAACCTTAATGCTACCATATTTTGAAAGAGGGATTGCATGCGGTAAATCCCAATGAATACATTTATTTTGCATGCGCACAAACATGAAACTCCCGGGAGAATGCCCGTTTCCTGAGGATCGAAATTGGTGCGAAATTATCCACATGACCGTTAAGTTATACTCATTTACAAGAAAGATAGGAAAGCAAATCTTTCTATAGACGAGGAGATCTCATTATGAGGTGGTATTGCGAGAAGCTTGTGGTTAAATCTAGTAGCATAAACAAGAAACTGTGTGGCATAAAGAATTCATTAAAAGACGACCTCGTGTGGAAAATTTACGAGCTAAGATGTTAGATGTTTCATTAGAAGATGAGATACAAGATTTCGCATCATTTGGCTATTATGTAAATTATTTTATCCACTTTGATATTAAAATTAAAAATGCGAAGGGAAGCATAACACGCTATTAAATATATCTACATTATAAATAAAGTTAGTATAAACGATATTTACCTTGTATTTAGTAAAGTCTATTTTTGGAGGAGGTACTATGGAATCATTCTCAGGTAGCTGAAAATCGAAGCAGTCCCTTATCTAAAAAGATATTGAAATTTTAGACTGTACATACTTGCTCAGAATAAAAATATTCAACACAACTAACTTAAAATTACAAAGGCTAGAAGAGTGAATTATAAATTGCTGTTGCATACAGTTCATCAAGTTTATTTTTATCCGTGCGTTAGTTTAGTAAATCGTTATGATCCATGGTACCTTTCAGTTGACGCAGAGCCATTCGAGAATATGCACAATGTGTCAATATAATAACTAGTTGATTTTACCTCACAAGGCGTTTTTAGTTTACTTTTTTAGTTTGTTGAAATTTGTTTCAGCAGTTTACTTCTCAGCAGTTAACGTGATCACAGGTTTACAGATAATTCTTCAATATATTGAATTTCTGGTCTTTTTAATCTTATTTCAGTTGTATTTCTACTTATACACTGACGTCTCTTGCTTATGTCCCTGAAGACCGAAATAATTAGTCAAAAGGAACACTCTTTACAACGTATATGTTAAGTTAGGCTATTTGAACTACAGTTAGCCACAAAAGTCTGCGTACAGATTAAATTTTAAATTAAAAACACTTAAAGCAAAGAAAAATGTATTTTAATAATTACATTTCTTCCCCTTCTATTAGCTAAAATTCTAAGCTTAAATAAAAGTAAATAGTATCAGTGTAATACTTTACATTTTTTCAAATATTTATTTTGTCAAAAAAACTCAGAAATTCCCTCCAATAAGTCTGCGTACACTTTCAAAAAAAAGCTAAATATAAGTTTTTTACGTTACTTCAATACTTTGTAGGATATCCTTTATTCTTCAAAACAGCTTGCAGACGTCTGGGCATTGACTGAACTAGTTTTTCAGTGTCATCCGACGTAAATTTCGCCCATTCTTCCTGCAATTTACTAATTAGCTCATTTCGCGACGTAATATTGTGTTTTTCGAATTCGTTTCTCCTCCAATTTTGCCCACAAATGTTCGATTGGATTGAGGTCTGGTGACTGTGGAGGAGTACGCAACTGTCTTGGAGTGTGATAGAGGAGATATTCCTTCACAATTTTAGCTGTATGTTTTCGGGTCGTTGTCTTGTTGGAAAATAAAGGTATTAGAAAGGTTTAAATTTCGGGCACTGTCTCGTAGATTTTTCTTCAGAATATCCAGATAAACATACTTATCCATGACTTCATCAATAATGTGAAAATTTTCCAACTCCTTTCGACGACATACACCCCTATACCATCACACCGCCAACTCCATGTTTGACAGTTGGATTTAAATTTCTCAGATTCAGTTCTGTTCCTGGTTTTCTCCATACAATAGGGTGGCCATTAACTTTAAATATTGTAAATTTACTTTCATCTGACCAAATCACATTGTTCCAGAAGTCCTGCGAAGAGTTTAAATATGTTTTGGCAAAAGCAATTTCTTTCCTTCTTATTGTCTCGGGAAATTATGGCTTAGGCCTAGGTTTTGGGTCCAGATTATCGGCCTTTCGCAGCACTTTTCGTACAGTTTCAGGAGAAATTTCCTTGTTGCTAGTTAAAAAAATGTCTTTTGCAATGCTTGCAGCAGAAAGTTTAGGATTTTGTTTAATTCGTAAAAGAATTTTTCTTTCTTCTCTCTGCGTTAGCTTTCTTCGGTCTCCCACATCTTGGTTTTACAGCAAGACTACCAGTGTCAAGATAGTTTTGAATAACTCTTTGCACACTAGAAAATGGTTTTCCAATGGTTTTACCAATATAACGAAGAGTTTTACCTTCATCTCTCAATTTGATAATTAGTTGTCTCGTAACTAAAGGAATTTCTTTATTGGTTGTCATTTTCGTCAAAGAAAATAGAAATAGCAACTTCCAATCAACGTGAAATTTGCTTCGGAAGTCAATGACCTTCAATGTGTAACCTTCTTTGCATTCTCAAGTTTGAAGTTTAAAAGTTAAATAAGAAATCCCCGCCTCCTTCGCGTTGTACGCAAACTTTATTCGCTTTGATTTCTGGCCACTTTGGATTTGATATTACTTTTCTTGATGTACGCAGACTTTATTGACTAACTGTATGTTGATAGTCATCAGCAACGACTCGAATATAAACTGAGTAACGAGAAGCCTTGCACTGTATCGTTCGTGGATAGAAGTTTATTTTTTGATTCATTAACCCATGACAGTAAACTGATCAGAAGGTAGATCATAGGCTCGATAAGAAAAACTGAAAGGACAGGGTCAGTATTACAAATGCCTCGGCAAGAGGCATATGGTGAAAGATTAGCGAATAAAATTTCTGTTATAAATTATGCAGTAAATCTCATCGTACATCTTTATGCAATTCTCAAAACAAATTTTCGAAATCTATAAATAACATAATAAAACCGAAAATCATATATACCAAATTATGACTAACCAGTTTGAAGGATGGATCTAACAAAATTAACAGTCATTATGATTAATTACGGTACAACTAGAATATAATAAAGTGTTGAATACCGTCACTGATACTGCTACTCAGATCAGTATTATAAAGAGTACTGTTGTGACAGAGTATTGTAAAAACACGCATGGAAAAATGTAGCATATTAAAATATGCATTTGGACAGAAGGTAAATGTACCTTTAATAAATGTAAATTAGCGATATGTTCACAACCAAATACAGTGTACGCACCTTTACAGTCGTGAATGCTACAGTTGATAATCTAGTACATAATTTAATGTCGAGTTTCAGTGTTTATAATGCAGATTGCACATAAAGGTAATTCTGAAAGTTGTGTTAATACTCTAAATGATTATGAAATACAACGGTCTCATAAAGAGGTTCATGTTAGTTCTGATGAAGAGGATTATGCAAGTGATTTACTGCAAGTCTGTCAAAAAACTGAGAAAAAGGAAGAGGCTGATTATTTACACTCATGTCCATAAATTAAGGATAATGCAAAAACAGGCAAAGGAAGAGTTGGAAGCAAAACAAATTTGACTTATTTGTAAAAACTTATTTATTAAACAAAAGGTAAAGAGCAAAAAAAAAAAAAAAAAGATGCTATGTTTGATATTGTAAAAATTTGAGATTTTTTCTCCCTGGAGCAAATTACAAAAAAAAAAACCTATTTACAAAAAACCAATATTACATGGTTAGTATGATTGTTAATACATTGCATGTCTCCTAGGCGATGCAATACAGTTCGTACAACGCCTAGGCATGCTGAGTATCAAATTATCGATCTGATCTTGTGGGATATTACACCACTCAAAAAGCAATGCTCTCCGAAGTTCCGGTAGACATGTAGGAGGTTGACGGGCTGCAACTCGTCGGCCAAGCATGTCCCACACGTGCTCTACTGGATTCTAGTCGGGTGAAAACGCTGGCCAGTCCAAACGGGTGATATCCTATTGAAGGCATTCGCTTACGATGTTTGCACGGTGAGGACGGGCGTTGTCATCCATAAACACAAATTGTGCGCCCATGGCGCTCCTAAACAAACTTACATGTTGTTCCAGAATGACGTCCCGATAGATTTGGCTTGTCATGGTTCCAATTTGAACATGCAGGTCAGTTCTGGAACCCAGAATAATTCCACCCCAAACGAGCACTCCTGTACCACCGTAACGGTGTCGTTCAACGATGTTATCTTGGTGTTAACGGGTACCTGTAGCTCTCCATATGAAAGTCCGGCGAGAATCAGACTGCAAGCTAAACCTGGACTCGTCGGAAAACATCACACAAGCCCACTGTTGCGGTGTCCACGGTGCATGCTCTCTACTCCAGGCTAACCGCAGGCGACAGTGAGTTGCAGTAAGTGGAACGCATCTGACAGGTCTACGAGCATATAGACCAATCTGCGCTAAGCGTCTGTACACTGTCTGCCTTGAAATTGTCGTACAAGTGGCTGAAGAGACAGGTCTGAGGCTGTGCTCCACCTGTTTCTTTTGGCAGTAACTGCCAAATACCGGTCCTCATTCGGCGTTGTAACTCTGCAACAACCTGTGCTGTAACGTCTACTCACATTACCATCATCTTGGTATCGTTTCCAAAGCCTGGAGATGACTCTCTGGGCAATTCCAAGTTCGTCCGATACTTCCAGTTGGGTACGCCCACATTCCAGACGGCCGATAATTCTACCACGTAAAAAATCATCCAAATGCGTTTTGTGTCATAACTATTCGGTTATTGCACTGAAATGCTTATAGAGCGCCTGCGAACAACTTTACTTCTTTGCCTTTTGCCTGTATTCCTTATACATCACTCTTGTCATTGTGACGTACCATCGGTGTCATCTGGTTACTTGCTGAAATTTTCATACGATTCTTGAAGTTGTGTGTAGCGATTTTACAGGTGATCTATTTATTTTAGAGTTCAATTTACGCGTGACTCCGAATTATCCTTAATTTATGGACATGAGTGTAAATACGTGAAAGGCCAAGAAAAGGAAGTGCCGAAAGATGTTAAGAAAAAAATGTCATTTTTGAGATGGTTTTGGAACGGTCCAAATTTAGAGAAATATTTGAGAAACTATTTAAGAGAAGTCTAAAGCCTGGGACTATTGAACTGGACCAAATAAATGCAATGGGTGCGGTTAAGAACAGCTTGAAGAAAGTGTTTGTGAGAAATAAGGTGTGGAGCTTAGAAATTTTAAAATTTATTCTAAATCAAAATTTGAGAACGAAAGATTAACTCACACAAGAAGGATAAAGGTTAGGAAGAAATCTTTACTTGCTAAATTTCTAAACTTAAACCATTTAGATCTATATGGCAAAACGTTTGATGACTATTTGGATGAGTATTATAGATTAGATTTTGAAGATGTAATTAGTAATAAGTCAGCCATATTCAGATATAGGAAGGAAGTGCCAAAGGACCGACAGGTGATGAAATTTCTGCAACTCATGACAGATTTAAAGCTTATGTTTTAAGCACCTGTGTTTGTGTTAATTTTTTAGGTATTGTTCATTTAGTCTATTTCAAGTAAAGTATTACTTTTTAATTTCACCCTTTGAGCACCCACTTGAATGGTGAGGTACTAGACACTGGCGTCCTCCATTAAGAGCGAGGACGCCAACGCCAGCGAAATGCAGAGAAAAACAGTGAAAAAGACCACGCGAAAGGGTTACGATTATTGTGTTCCACTTCAAAACGAGTCACGCAAGACGCAGTGAATGGTTTAAAAACTAAAACAAAATTCTTTAAGACAGATTTGTAAAATATATGAAAGACTTGGTTGTACTGTATTACTCTAAATAAAAACGTTTAAAAAGCATTTGATGTTTGACGCCAAATAAGGTACGAAAAACAGACAATTATCGGTCGCGACACAAATACACAGTAGATAAAAAAGCATTGGCAATAGTTCCTTGAAACACCAAACTCATGAACACCTGTACCCTTGAAACACTAAACCATAGTCTGAATATGATGAAACTCGTAACTATCATTTCAAGTTATATCCCTGACTTATACAAATGTTATCTTTATCGCCTTATGAAAACTTAAGTTACTTTTACTCCTTGTGACCGAATACAAGCTTCACAAAACTTAATGCCACTTGTAATATCGGGAAACGGCAATGAAAGCTATCGCAAATCGTTTCAAATAGCCTTAGTAAAGTCCTTTTTGTTTTTAAAAAACGTTTGCTCTTGGACCAAGCGCGTTTGCTTAAGAAACAAAGAAAAGTATTGTGATGTTTTATTTACTTCCGCAATCGGTTAAATATTCATTATATTGCCAGTTAAATATTCATTATATTGCCAGTTAAATATTCAACGAGAGCGTTAGATTACAAACATAACAGTATCTTAAATTCAATATTCTTAATTAAAATGAATATAAACAGGCTTAATATTAAACATGAGTTGGTTTATATGTCATGTATTTGTTTAGGAAATTCAAATTTGAAACATACCGAATTCCAATTGTAATGTAGTAAATCTACCCTTCGATTGAAGTAGAACTCTTTAAACTCACTGGACTCTGAAAAGATTATTAAAGAAAATTAGTTTCAAGCATGTAAAAATATTTCACGCTTAAAGATTTCTTTAACAGTTACATAATTACTGAAGATTAATTTGTAAAATACCTAGATTCTGCCATAAGGACTGTTTGCAGTGAATTTTTAAAGGAACATTCCTTCAGTTTTAAATCAGATTTGTAAGAATATATAGATTTGAATAAAGCACTGCAATGGATATTTCTGTGCAAATCTATTTACAGAATAATAAATCTCAGCGTCCTTTTACGTTTGTAAGATGGGACAGACTTTCAGTTTACCGTTGAAAAGCATCCGATGGTTATCATATAAAGACATCCTTTCATGAAACTTTCTTAAACAAACAAAAGCTTATTTACATGACAGCACAGGCAAATCTTTGAACTGCCATCAACAGAACTGAGAGCAAAGCTTAAACTATTTGTAGCCACTCAGCCGTTAGACGATTCAAGTAGAATAAAATGATCTCCTGGTCAAATAACTTATTTTTGCGTTTATTACGCAAATAACTTTCTTCGGAATTATGCAACTTAAATTTGTAAATTTGATTTTTTCTAAATTTGTTGTAAATTTAAAATTTGTAAAAGATCGGTTTCTAACAACTGGATTCGAGCAATGCTAATGATTTGTAATTTAGTGAGAACAATTTTATAGGCTTAGTATTTGATAGTCAATGCGAGCTTTTTCAAAGAATTTTGACGGCGAAACCACAAAAATTATTTCTCGCATTACAGAAATGGCAATTTTTCCGTTAATGCATATAATATGGTCTTTTATAGTTTTAGAATTGTTTGCACATCTTTCGTTTTAATTCATTCTAAACAGCAAAAGGATTAGTTGAGAGAATTACAAGATTGTGCAAATTACGACTTCGATTCCCACGTAAGGATCGATTGGCGTTTTCTCTGCCATTTTGCAGAAATAATCTGCTTATAAGGCAAAAGGAGACTGGCTTGGGGAAGACGTACAAGAGAAACTGGGTCGCATTTATATTACACATGGTAAAATTGAAATCTCAAATACAGTCATCCAGTTAGCCAAACAATTATTTGTAATTTTCAGCGGTTTCAACCACTTTCTGAGCCATCAGCGGCGAAAGGTAAAGATAATTCAGCTTTTCCCAATCTATTCTGCAAACAGCCATTAAAGCACTTTGTGATAAGATGTGAAATTGATGTTACATAACATTGTTTTTAGGTACTTAACGCAGCTTAAAACAACTCTTAAAAGAAAATGAAAACTAATTTTTCGATAACAGCCATTGCAAGCAGTCTTCGGCAGCCGAATTTTTACGTTCAAAGAAAAATTTAAACAAACGCATAACGTTTGATGCTACATCCGATATAAGAATCCAGGTTTCTTTGTATCGGACGTTAACAATTATTAATTCGAAGATTCGAATGCATCAGAGACATTGTAACTATATATTCGCTTCATATAATTACTTTTATAAGACAGTTTATAGAAAATTAAAAATTCAGATTTGTTTATAAGCATGATATAAAAATTAAAACAGATGTTTATTTTGTTTAATTTATTATAATATCTCAAAACTGAAACCTCAAATTTAGCGTTTCTTAAAAATTTTGCTATGTTCCGCAATGAGGAAAGTTTGGGAGACATAATTAAATGCTAGTAAATAGACTTGGGATCGAATGTCGATGAGCGGACTGAGTTTCTAGGGGTTTTCTTGCGATACGAACCATCCTCTTTTCAAATGCTGTACACGAGGGAAATAACCCCCCCCCCCTCAAGGAGATCATGGAGGTAGAAAGTAAGATGAGGGGAAATAACCCTCACGTGCTTGACTAAAATCATTAAAACAAAGCAACCCAACCGCTAGTAGTCTTTCTGGGTGGAGAAATTGCAATCTGCCTTAGGACATCTCCAGGCGAATCCTGAATGCTTAATACGTTTAACATTTGGAAAGGGAAATCAGCATTACTTTGGAAAGAAATTGCACTGCGCAACTTACGAAGTTTAGAACTGATTGTTAAATTTAGGTATACGAAAACTCACCTGGGTAAGGTACGGAAATTCTTTTGAATTCTTCATAATACTGCAAGTAAAAAGGTTCTGAAGCATTCACTCTAAAACAAGAAAAAAGTTAAAATTTTAGATGGGGAATTCTTAAAAGATTGGTTTATCCTTCTACTTTAAAGATACATAGGAACGTTGGGGGTCACTTACGCTTCAGAACGCTTGCCCATTCTGTTTTCCATTCTCAAGTCAAAAATATAACGTATATTACAGTACCTCATGACATCAACATCCTTTCTTATTTGTCTTTGGAATTTAAGATTCCTAGAAAAAAAGGAATTGAATTTGGGAGTAATAAAATCATTGATTTCAAATCTGGTAAAATAATCTGTAGCTAAATGTAAGTAGATGTTAGGCTACTCAGGGAAATATTAATTCGGATTGCTGAAAGGTATAACAAAGATCGGCAGTGCGGTAAATAGTGATTTGATAGGTAATGAAGGCATCTTAAATCAAAAGATCTCCATAACAAGCTCTAAATTATGTGCTGTGAATAAAGCTTTAAATTCATAACTAATATGATCATTTAAATAAAATAATGAATTAATATGAACCGTAAAATGTTTCCAAGCAAAAATAAAAATGTATTCACGAGAATAAATATTTCAGGTAAAACAAATCACCTCTCTAACCAGAGTCAGATGAGTCGTAAATCTATACATGCTGCTGTATCTCTTTCATGGCATCAAGTATATTTGTACAACACTGAAATGAAAAGTTATACAGCGTAGGGAATTTATCAAACTTTTTATTAAAGAATCTATAAAAGATCAAGAAGTTCGTTTCATACGAGCAGATGATTAGTACATCACCAGTAAATTAATGAGATTAAAATACAGCAACATTGGTCTGTTTATTAGCATACAGATTAAATTTAACGCAAGGTAAAGTCAGTAAATTATAATTTCTCATATCCATTTTTTAAATTTCAAAGCGTAAAATGAAGTTACTAGCTCCCTTAAAGTATTCCTTGGTTGAAGAGTTGAAAGAAAATGTAATCTAAACAGAAGTCAACCACCAGAAAAAAAAAAAATTAGTAACGCAACAACCCCGAGTTTGGCGTTTAGTCGAGATCTCTATCGATTTCGAGAGCAAACAGATACAACTCTCTTCCTCAGGAGCAAAATTCCTTTTTTGCACCCATTTTTGCTCTTGAAATCGATACAGATCTCGACTAAATGAACCGCAAACTCAAGGTTATTGCGTTGTCCGTTTCAATACTTTAAATGTATTACAGAACAGTTTCGAAGAAATCTCAGAAGGAAGGATTATGCTACTTATAGGCCAGATATGGTTTCTCCTTTTTAAGTCGTTCGACTAAGACAAGTTTACATCAGCAAAGAAATTTGTTACAATTATTTTATATGCTTTAGTTAAGAGTTCTACATTCAGCACTTCGATTAAGATAAGATACTGACAATGTAATTGGACTACCTTACTCAACAAATTATTTCAGTTTTACACTTAGCGACAGTAAACTAATTCAAAACCAGGTGGGAATATTTCCGACGAATGTATCCAGCGCAAACTTGGGGCAGAATTTATTCCATTTTATTTAAAGAAGTTTTATGCCGATTGTAAAATGTTTAAATACTCTGCATTCATAGTCCATTTTTTAAAAATAACGTAAATGTAAGACGAAATTTCGGTGCGAAGGTTTTTGCACTACAGAATATTTGATTAACTTTATAATTACTGAAGCATCCAATTCCAAATATTTGATCTTAAACTCTCAATAGACATAGTATCAATAAATCATCATACGGCCTGTTTTCTCAAGGGTTGGTTATACACGCGTACTTCAAATGACAAAACGTTTTAAATGACGTAGTTATTCATTTTTCGGCCCCGTTTAAATACCATTCATGAGATTCCAAACTTATAATTTTCCTTAATTTATAATTTTCTTTTAAGTGGCGTATCGAAAGATGTCCACACCAGTAATTTATGAATTCTCACGAGTTAAAAATAGATTAACATTTATACGAGTTTTATTGCATTAGAATCCGTCTAAATCATAAAAACTTATTGACTAAATATTTTAGGTTTTTAATTTCCACAAATATTAAGATCCACAAATATTAAGAGTTGGCTATATGGCAGTACTAGTGTTGCCTATAAAACCAGCGGAATAGATCTATTCGCCGCTCGCCACCAAGACAATTTTGCTTTCAATTCTTATGTTGTATCCAGACATAGCATAGAGTTTATTTAGTTCAATATTTTGGTTTACCTATTTTACAGTCGAGGCGTTTTCTTTACATGCCTATATTATATCTTGCTATATTATATTATTGAGCTAAAGACATGCTCTTTTTATATTTTGAAAAGGTTTTTCCAGTTAAACACATCTGTGTACATATAAATGGGTATAGTAAAAATATCAAGTCAACTTTTATTACGTATTTCATTTCTGCATGAAGGCGAAATAGCCCAAGACGAATCAACTGCCGCTGACCGACTTGTCGGCGAAACGGCTAAGGTGAAATGTCCTAAAACCCCTATACCAGTGGGTATGTGCCTGCCCGTGTTTTTTTGAAACACATTCTTAAAGGTAGAATTCACATGATCTGGTCTTAGTTATCATAACGCTCAGTCTTATACGAGGTTTAATTAAGAACGTTTAGATAAAATCCTTGTAGCACTTTGACATAGCAAGGTGTGTTTGGCGTATGCCACCCGTATACGGAATAAAATGCTAATACAATATTGAAATGCATACAGGAATTATATCTAAAATAATTCACTTACTGTAGTAAATAGGTTGCACAAGTAGTGGTCATCCCGTATTGGAAATCAGTGTCCTCAAAATATCTGTAAAAGTAAGCATATATGTTCATACCGAGCTTTAATTTACAAAATTTATACAAGCCATTCAAGAAATTACAAGTTGAGAAAAAGAGGTATTTTCTTGAAACTAAATATTTTCATTGTAACTCATTCAATGACGGTTCTTCGGATCATTCACATAGCAAATACCAAATCTGAACCAGCTGTTGTTCACTAGTATTGCGATTGGTAATTTAACTGAGAGTGTATCGACTTGTCAATTACCTACAGGGAACTTTATGAGAATATATAAAAGGTTATCCTACTTCAGTTAATAACACCAAATCCAAACTATTTCGCTTGAAGATTAGTGAAACGAAGATTCTTGAACGCCTATGAACCCTTAGTTAATAATTTAATAACCTTAGTTAATAATTTGATACCAGATTTTTTTTGGCTCAAACAGTATCTAATTAACATTAGTGGCGCTTCCTTCTTATGAAAAGGAAAAGAGCTTAGGCAAAGTTGCCCATTACTCTTCCTCCATTTGATCATTTAAATCAAAGGTTTTAAATGGTAACTCCTGTGAAAGGTAAATAATAAATAGATAAGATCCTAAACTGACACCAAATATATAGTATCAGCAAAAGATCCCATCTCTAAATTCAGGGTGTTGGTTAAATCGTGAAAACTTGCCAATTGGATGAAGAGCCGATTCGATCCTTCCAAACCACCAAACGCAAACTCGACCAAACAAGGGTGCGATGGCGAGTCTACAAAAGTAAAATTAAATTAAATAAGGAGGGGAGAGGGGCTTTCTCAAGCCAAATGGCCAGGTGGTGTGTAAAGATTTGATATCCATTTCCAAATTATATTCCAAAACACAGCTATGAGGGAAATCCCTGCATAGTTTCTTTTATAAAGGAAAAAAAAAGAACTCACAGGGCGTCTCAATGCTTGTTTCTTGTGGTTTCAAATTCACCTTACCTGTAGGTGTTTAGTATACATCAGAAATCCTATTATGCCAGAGAGCCCTTTGTATAAAAGGGCTTGATCAAAGCTAATATAGGGAAACCCAAGGAATTTGTTTCTAGGGACAGAAAACACCGGACATCGTCCCAGAAAGTGAAAAGGTGTTTCCTCTTCTTCTCCACAAGCTCTGCAGACAGCAGATTCAACAAGACCACATTTGTGGAGATGCTTGGCCAGATAAGCATATCCGGTAACAATCTGAATTACCTGGCGTAAGTTAGTTCGACTGAGGTGTACGAGTTTACCTGATAATTGTACCGAGCACCAATATAGAATGAGCAGTCTGGTAGTTTAGACCATATATCATCGTGTTTGTTCTTTATCCAGCTTCTTACTTTTTTACAGTTTGATATGAAACTGGGTAAAATGGTTCTGGGCCAGACATCTGTAGTTGCGAAGCATTTTTAGCTACTTTATCAGCTAGTTCATTTCCAGAAAAATCACAATGACCTGGGACCCAGGCTAAACTAATGGTGCTTTAGGCCTGAGCCAGAGAATTGAGATCTTGAGTACAGTTCAAAACTCAATTTTGTAACTTGACACGATTAGCCAGGGCAAGGATGGCTGATTGGCTGTCAGAAAGAATATATATATCCTTATCAATTGTATTTTTAGCCAAGAGCTCCCTGGCGACCATATTGATCGCCAGAACCTCGGCTTGGAAAACAGTTGTTAGTTTACCAAGGTATAGATGAAATCTAATGAAATTTTCTCCAGATCCCTTGGTTTATTTAATAGCTCCAGCGAAGTTGGATTTTGATCCATCTGTGTAACATTCGATTGATCCTGTTGGAATTAGGTCAATTAGAGATTCTATCTCATTTCTTTTTGGCATACAAGTTGAGAATAGTTTATCTGGAACTATTGTTTTAGTAATTGCATCTTTGGGCATATAGATTATAGGGATCTCATTGCCCAAGTCCAGGCATATGTCAATGTCGCTTTTATGACCTAAACCTGGTTTTTGGCACCATGTGCCATTTTTATTCAACCTATACATGGCTTTAATTGCTTCTCCGCTCAAGAATAATTTAATTGGAGGAATTTGCAATAAAAATTCTAATGCAGCAGTAGGGGTACTATTTAAAGCCCCACTAATGCATAGGCAAGGAAGTCTTTGCAACTTTTGTAAAATGTTTAAATATGTGCTTTTGTTAATAACATTGATCCAGACCACGCATCCGTAAGAAAGCATTGGCGGAACTATGGCAGTATAAATCCATAGAGTAGATTTTGGGTTAAGGCCCCATTGTTTACCAACGATTCGCCTGCGAAGTACTAGTACATTAGTGGCTGTTTGTGCGTTTTCTTTTATATGGGTGATCCATGCGAGTTTACTCTCCAGATAACATCCTAGGTATTTAACGCATTCCTTACATCTGATAACCTGGTTACCCAGATATAAATCTGCCAGTTTCTATTTCCTTTTCCACGTGAAAACTGACCTCAGATTTTTCAGCAGAGAAAGATGGGCCATTTGTTTCGCCCCAGTGTGAAACTTTATTCAAGATCTGCTGAGCTTGATTGTGTAGGGTGCCGATATCGAAACCCTGTAGTAACACAATAAGGTCATCTGCATAAGCCTGTGACATGCCAGGTTCCTCCCGTAGAAGTACTAAATGTTGAATACCAGGTTCCACAGGAACGGAGAGAATCCCACCCTGTGGACACCCTGTAGTAACATCTGTTTACTTCAGTCAACGAGACTAACGCAGATATTCCTGTGTTTAATCATAAATATGACCCATCTAGTTATCATAGGGTGAATATGACTTCCAATAAGGGCCTTATGCATTTACTCGAAACCAATGTTATCAAAGGCTCATACAATATCCAGTAGAATCCCAATGGCAAAGTGTCCATCTATAATCGTTTTTTCTATTCTCGCCACGAAATGGTGTAGGGCCGACTCAGTGGAGAAGCCAGGCCTAAAACCGTGTTGGTCTAAGCCAAAAGTATGGTTCAGATTATTATCTGACTGGAGGTGTTAGAAAATCAATCACTCCAACAGCTTGAGCTGGAAGGATGTTGGAATAATTCTAAATGAGTTTAGTTTCTCATATGTATCTTTCTGGTTTGGGAAGAAACACCTCGTGAAGTTCTCCACACTTTAGGAACATATCCTAAAACCAAACTGGATTCGAATATGTCCACGAGAATGGACAAAAATATCCCAGCCTTTCTGAAGCAGAATTGGGTAAATGCCGTCGTTCCCTGGAGATTTAAAGAGAAGAAATACATCTAGGGCCGCTTTAGCCTTTTCAAAGTTCACTATTGTCTTAGCAAAATCCAAATCTAATGTATTATGAAGTAGTTCCAATGGATTTTGCTGGGAGTCAGAGGTGACACTTGTGCCCCCAGATGAAAATTCAACATGGTCGAAAGTGTATCCACAGTATCTAGTTAACGCAGATAACAGCACTTTGATTCAAATAATGTCTATATCCTAATTTTCTTGTTACATGAGAATGCTATATAGTTTAATCAGAAATATTTTAATGTCAGCACATAGAATAAGCACAGTTTGGTTTTAATTTAGTCAACCAATGGCGTTACAAGAAGCTTGGGAAATTAGGAATCGGTTGCAGTTTTATCAGGATTAGTTCAGAGTGAAGTGAGCTTTATCATTTCACTCGACTAATCTTGATAAAATGCACTCAAAATAAAGATACAAAATGTATCCTGGTTATGATTAAGGTAATCATATAACAAAGATTTCAAATAAAAACACCGGTTTCATGATGGCATAAGCGTTTAGGCAGCAAAATAAAGTTCAGATTACACCGTTGCGGTGGCGTATATGCTGTTAAGTTACTTAAAAGTTCATTGAAGGCAGTACGTATCAAGTACTACAGCCACTGGACGTATTTATTTTGAGAAACATTTGAGCATCTTCTGTTAAAGCAGCAACCCCCATAACAGCATTTGAAAATTATAAGTTATAGGTTTGCTCTTTTGCTGGCACTATGTTTTCCATTAATGGTTAATGAAGGGAATCTAACAAATTACTTTCGGGTCACGAGTTCGCTATATAAAGGTTTGATTTACCATATTCCAGCCTCCCTCTTTTCAATTTTGCAAGTTTTTTCTGCTCATTTTTGCTCCCGTTATTAAACAATAAAATGCTATTTCAATGCTTGCTTTTTTGTAATAAGAAATTAAAAATTTCTTGCGAGTATTTAATTCTGAAATAACAGAAATTTAACTTAAATTACTTGCGAATTTACTTGCATGAGGACACATATTCGCTCTTCCGTTTTAAATGGGAATAAGTAATTTTTAAATCCTGGCAAATCGACAACGTAATTAATTTAAATAGGAAATTACAAAAATAAGCTAAGTCTGAAGATGCGCCGAAGTATTTATTTTCGCTTAAATGTTCCAGGAATGGCCGCTTACTAGAAGCCATGCCCCAAGAATTGTATATCGTGCATTAAATGTAACGCCCTTATTTAGTACAGAAATATAAAATTTGCAAGACTTTTACAGGGTTTACGAAATGTTAAAGTTAGTATTATATAATCTTATTTCAAGGAATAATGGTTGTTTTAAAACTATACTTTTCTTACTATCTTACAAACTACTTGCAATCCATGCAAGCGGTAAGGATCCTGAACTCAAAGCTGATCGTATAACTTTAGCATGGAAATTCTGGATATAGATTGAGACTACTTTCCGAATCAAGAATTTCCGCAACGCGTACAAATGCACTGCCGTGTCACTGTATTACTTTAGGTTGCAACTGCAACCTGTGTCCGAGTTTGCTAGTGTATGGCTTACATTAACGCGAACACAAATAGATCCAACGAAACTGACGCTATGTTCCAGAACATTCGTTTCGTTTAGTTAGTTCGCCGTCGATCAGGCTTCTGTCCTAAGGTGAAACTAATCGGAATTAATACCTTATATTAACACCTTATCAGCCGAGGTAAAATCTACTTGTACAACCAGCTGCCACCATGAGTAGGTGGACCGCCAGATCAGCGACGGTTATTTTGTATTAGCCAAAGTATTGTTAAAGTAAATATATATCAATGACATCTTCACTTTGTGCGACATATGTACAAATGATACAGTGGATGGACAAAAATATGTAAACACCTTGTGAAATGCATGTTTGAAAAGAAAGATTGATTTTAATGAAATATGTAGGTGGCGCTGGCATTTTTTACTACTGACGCCACCTATACAACATCGTAAATGTGCTAAACAGTTCAGTTGTTGTCGGAGTACTGTTATGTGAGGTTGTCATTGCATTATGTCAGAGTTAACAGACTTCGAACGTGGGCAAATTGTTGGAGCACGTATGGTAGGTGCTTCCGTAAGCAAGGTAGCCGAGGTGTTTAGTGTTTCAAGAGATACTGTATCGAAGATTTATTCCGCATATTTGAAATGCGGAAAAACATCTGCTAAATCACAGCGCGGACGAAAGTGTTTTGAGTGATCGTGACAGACGATCATTAAGGGCAATTGTGACGAAAAATAAGAAGACCACAGCTGCAAAAGTTACTGCTGAAATGAATGTTGTGTTACCGAACCCTGTGAGTACCAAAACAATTAGAAGGGAGCTTCATAAACAGGGAATTGCTGGCCGTGCTGCAATTGAGAAGCCACTCAGTGATGCTAATGCCCGTAACAGGAAAAGGTGGTGTTTAAGTCATAAAGCCTGGACTATAGAGCAGTGGAAGCGAGTAATAGGGTCTGACGAGTCTTCTTTCACATTGTTTCCCACTTCTGGCAGAGTTTACGTCTGGAGAACGCCATCTCAAGCCTATAATACAGACTGCTTGTTGCCAAGAGTGAAACATGGCGGGGGTTCTGTTATGGTTTGGGCAGCCATATCGTAGTTCTCTGCTAGCCCCATGATAACTGTCAGGGCACATGACTGCCAAGACTTGTGAACATTTTGGCCGATCAAGTTCATCCCATTGTACAAACTTTGTTCCCCGATGGTGATGGTGTCTTCCAAGATGACAAAGCCCCTGTTCACACAGCTCACATTGTCCAGGACTGGTTTTCTGAGCACGATGATGAGTTGTCCCATCTTCCCTGGCCACCATAGTCACCAGACCTGAATATTATCGAACCTTTGTGGTCTACATTGGAACGGAAAGTGTTCTCGTTATCCACCGCCAACATCGTTATCTGAACTTGCCACCGTTTTGCAGGAAGAATGGTATAATATTCCCTTGGCAAACATACAGGAACTGTATCCATTCCGAGAAGACTGGAAGCTGTTTTGGATGTCAACGGGTTTCCTACACCATATTAAGCAAAGAAACATGTTTTTTTAAAGGTGTTTCCATATTTTTGTCCAGCCCCTGTATATTACATAATCAAAATTTGCATACGAGAGCTAAGCAGTTAAAACTGCTGCCTTCAACCCTATTTATAAAAAAATAAAAGTCTGAAAGTTATTAGAAACCTCTTGAAGTCATGAAGTCTTGAATTCACATTTTGTTCTTAACTTGTTAGGAACGGCCACACAAATGAATCCCAGTCAAGGCAATTAGATCATAATTACATGAAAAATGTGGTCCCAATTTAAATTCCTTTTAAAGTAAATTCTCAAGTCTTAAAACCAATATAATAAACTATTAACAAATTATCAAATTTCATTATTCATAGTTAAGACGGAATACAGAGCAGTAAAATTTAATTCAAAGAACATTATCAATTTTATAATGATTCTTACCTATCTAAAATCAGTTCTTATCTAGGCAATAAATTATAGAATAAATGCCTCCCTAATTAACATATTTCGGTTCGAAACACTTATTCTCAAAAAGTAAGACAGATTATAAAGCAATAACATTTAGTTGGCAATTTTAACACATAGCGCTTAACTGAGAACGCAACTTTTTTAAAAACAAAGCAAGCATAAGAATTACAAGTGTGACAAATGTACTGTGTGTGCTTTTCTAAATTTGATCTTAAACTGTTAACACAAGATGGACCCTCTTTACAGTTCGGAACTAAATTAGAAAAGTGGTACGAGCGCAGCGAGAGCAAAATAAAGAATTTGTACAATTTCGAATATGGCGGCCAAAAGCCTTGCACCCATAGCATCACGTCAGTAATTCAACGCATAAATTCTGAGAAAGGTCATTCTTCTCATGAAATACATAAACAATGCGAAAAGTCGAAGAATAACTACTTTGATTATTATAAGCAAAGGAATTGGTGAAAGGTAGTGGTGCAATATATCATAAGCTGCCTTCTGTAATCATACACGAAACAGCTTTTTATTTCCAATATTAGTAACCTGGATTTTCCATTCTACCTACTATTCCAATCCTTTACCATCAGAAATTTGCTATTATGGATTACCGATGTTTAGTTTCACTATAATGTACCCATGATACGTGATTTACCCTTTTTTAATGTATCACAAGAACAAATCATACTGTAAAATAAATCACTACGTATAATTTCAATTCACCGTTCTAGGATAGGGAAGTGAAAGGTGAAGCAAATGATATGGAAATGTTTATTCTTACCTATATCTTCCATCCTTTTCGTACCATTGAGACACCACGTTAGGATGGACTGAAGCAGAACGGCAAATATACTAAAATTAAAGAAACACTGATTAATTATTTGTAACCCGAAGAGAAAGATTCTCGTTAAGAACTTAAAGAAACCAGCTTAAACACTCGCAAAAATCATAAAAATGCATACCATCAGTGTTTTTAAACGAAATCTGAACCTGGGACGAATTACTAGTATACAATTATGGAACCCAAGACTCAATGGACGATAGGTACGGTTGTACCCAATGGATGTACGGTTGAATTACAGCACAAGACATGTTAACTACTTGCGCTACGACTAAACTTCACGGTTGCGGTGCCGTGCGCTACAATATAACAAGCCGTAAAGTGTCATTAACGCCGCTCCGCGTCTGCGAGTGCAATCCAGAGCTGTACCTTGAGCAATAAACAATCTCGTTGTTAGGCGACGTGTGCACCTCGTTTTCATTCTTGCGATAAATGCCTATCGACGGGCTGTTCACGTCGCTCGCGGTTTGAGACAAACATCTCGACGTGCGTAGCACGTCCTTTTAGCGCAAGTGGTTAAAATAATTTTCACCAAACGTAGGATCCAATTAAGTTTATTACGATAGTAAGTTTTGAAAAACTAGTTGAAAAGATCAGGCAAAATGAATATTAAATATGAAGTACCTACTTTGGCCAAAAACTAATACAGGCTGTAATTCGCGGGTAATGCAGTGAGCTTTAGCACTGCAGCCATATAATTTTCAAGTTGTTCATCGAGCAGGGAAACAAGAATATTGAGTCTAAGTAGATCTGCTACCTAATAAAATCTGGCTATTTCTTAAAATTGAAAAGAATGATTAGTATTTTTATAGAATGAAACAGTATAAAATTATATTTTGTCATACCACATAATTTGTATACTTTTGTGATGTTAAACAAAAGTATATTTAAATACCCCGAATTACCTTGTTACCTTGAATACCTTGTTTTTAAATATACCGAATTCCGATGCCTTATTTCCCCCAGTTCCTAAGCTACTCAGCATTACCGTAAGACTCGGAAAATTTTGAAATGACATTTCGCGAAAGAACTCAAGTAACTGGAAGGTGATTTATCTCTTCTCAATAAACGAGGCGAAAACATCACCGTGAAATGACAAATTCGTGCAACAAAAGTTATCAATCTCGTCAGGAATTAGGATACTGATAGTAATGACGTCAGTGAGCTATTGGGCTTGCAGTTAAACATCTGAGTACCGAAGAGCTTAGATGCTAGAATGGTGATGGCTCATTAGAAAAAAGGTTACAAATTTTGGAGAACATGGACTAATGAAATCTACAAGGGAATGGGTACAAATATAACAGAAAAATTTTAAGTGATCGTGTCTTGACTAATTTGTTAAATTTTATGAAGCCTTCGGCATCAGTAACTTTATCTAGCACTTTTACTACTGTTTCGTATCGATATTAATGAAAAGTACGTTCATTATGCAATTATCTTCTAAACGTTTTAGTCCCTAGTTCTAATAACTTATCACCTCAAGTGTTTATATTCGAAGGGCCAACTCCAACTAACGTGCTCCTCGTTAGTCCCATCTATCATAAAATATCTCCGAAACTTGCCATCACAAAAAGTCCCAGTATACAGTCTACAAGCTGTTTGCATACGCCGCAAAATCGGTATAGTGGTCAGGGAAACTGACTGCGACGCCGAAGGGCCTGGATTCGAATCCCGGAGAAGGCATGATTGTAATTGTCCGTCCCTTCATAGGAAAGGCGATGGTGGCCCACCTATTAGGTGCCTCTAATAAAAGAGACCACCACATCCGCCCTTGTATAGATTAATGGACTGGGTTACATTTGTAATTGTTTACAATCTGCCATTGGAAAAAAAAAAGTTGTTCGCAGACATAATCGAAACAACTTTTGCATTCGGGGCACAATTCATGAAAGCACTAAAGTGTACATGTAATATTAAATAAAACAATCTAAATTATCCATGTTTGTAAAGACTGATTTGGGAAAGATAAAGCATATATGGAAAATAAAAATACTTCCTATTAAATACCGAGTGTCTTCAAAACTAAAATATACTTTTAGCCTTCTTATGAAGTATACAGACACAGGAAATATTTCAAATAATTGTCACAGAAATAATTTAAAATGGAAAATTCAAATTTATAAAAATATTTTAAAGAAACAAAATATTCAAAGCTGTATGTGGGAACCAAGTGTCTTGCAATATGATTTAGTTAGATTAATATACTAACAAGGGCGTTCATTGCATGCGGTATTCTTTCAGGGCGTTTCAACAATAATGGCAAAGCATACGATTGATATCTACGCAAAGGGATGCTTTCTTGGAAGGCGTCTCGAATCATTTAAATTATACTTGAAAATAGCAAAAAATTAATGCAGCGAACCTGCTCGACGAGGTTAAAAAGTAGGTCTGACTGCTAGTGTTCAGCTACTTTACCCATTCGGATGAAATAGTCGCATTTAAAAATAGAATTATTCCCATTGCTCCATTAATATAAGAATTTAATTTAGCTATCATTGAATAATTTGAATTAATAAGCGTACCATTAATACTAGTTGTAAGAAAAGAGACGTGTGGGTACACGTGTGGGCTTCTTATTAGAGATTAGAATATTTTTGGAATGAAGTAGCTCCAAAATGTGTACTCGCACATCTTCTACAGGGATGTTTGAATTGTAAACGCACCATTCAAATTAATCGTAACATACGCGAGATCAAATTCATTGCGATTGTTTATAAGCGATATGTAGGCTCATAATTCTCAATATATCAGCAGAAATGTAGATATAGGCTAAATACTTCACCCGGTTACTAAGCTCTACGTTGGTTATCTACCGCGATATGTTGAAATTTGTATATTAGTTTTAAAATTAGAGTTTTGACCATTTCTAGAAGACAGAGCCTCAAATGAGTAACATCAGGGAAAACCGCCAATTTAAGAACGTTTCCATGTAAGTTATAGTCAGAATACAACGGTGAATGGAAAGCTCCGTCTGGTTAATATTTCTTTAGCTTCTCTAGGTTAAAGGATGCGAAATGTCATAGTAAGAGAAATGTAGTTTATTATTTCGGTTCTCATTTTCTTGGTGTCAAGAATTTTTCTACAGATAAACTTTGTAATGGTATTTTCGTAACCGTCACTCAATCTCCCCCCCCCACACACACACAGTGGCGGTCTGAAACCGTACAGAGACGTTGACCACTATCAAGGTCAGAAGCGGTGGTCACTTTATTATGGAGGCACCTGATAGGTGGGTCAGCTTTACTCCTGTGAGGGGACGGACAAATGCACACATTTCCTCCGGGATTCGAACCCGTATCCTTTGGTATGGCAGTCGTCTCCCCTAGACATTATACCCTTTCGGGCGGCTCCTTTATAATGTTACGCCGTATATTCCGTACAACAATCTTTAAACATTGATCCATATTCTCTAATCACCTGTAGTCAAAAAAAACAATCTCGTTAAATGGCACCGACAATCATTTGCTTCGATAACTACTCCCCCTACAAAAATATAGGAATTTCACATCCTTTCCTTTATTACAGAAGGAAATTCTTTTGAAGTAAATTGCAATATTTTGAGCTTAATTCTCATTTTAGGTCTTGCTGTTGATATTTCTTGGCGAAAAGCATTGACGTCAAGAAAACGTGAGGTGACATAATTACCATTTTAAAAAAAACCGTTGTAAAATTGCTTTTATCATTTATCTAATATATAGTATTATGTTTTTCTTTGTACCATATCAGTTATGAGAATAAGATCTACATTCAGTGGATAATCCACACATCTATTTTTTAAATCGCATGGAAAAATATTCAATTTTACAATTTTTAAGGAAATAAGTTTCAAGATATTACTTAAAAATTAAAATTTTCATATTAACGAATATCGGCTTTATAAACTAGTTTATTTTGCCAGACTCAAACCTGCAGATCTGAAATTTCATATTCCCTTTAACAGGTTCTTGTTTTTTGTGAACATCAGAAGGCAGTACAATCAGATTTCGTTTAACATAGTATTTTAGGTTTTCAAGCCAGTTACTGATCCTACTTAATATTTCCTTCCACGAGACTTTGTCATAAGATTAAAAACTAATATCAACCTAATATCATCGATGTTTTTGCCCTAAATTGCTCAGCATTCCGCTTCTGCAAACTATCTGATAAGTTTTAACTAGTTTTTGCATCAGATATTTGTTCTAACTATGAAATGGCTGCAAATTTCACTGATTTGGCGAGGAGATATTCACACTAACTATGGTGGGTGAACGAAAGTACTTTTATTCGCGATTTATTAAAAATTTCAAGACATGGAACTCGAGATTTTCAAGTCTCCAGACGGTTCTCAAGACTTATACAAATTTCACATTTACTATTCGAATAATTTGGAGAATTTCTGATACTGATGTTTCCTGATTTTGAAAGCTACAAATCACAAAATTCATAAATTTAGTGCTAGTAATTTTATTACTTTCCACATTAAATGTTAATTTATGTTGACTTGAAAAAGACCTTATTTTTAAATGCATTTGTAAATTACTATTTTTAGAACTTTAATAATAGTTTCTACCAAAAGATTCCCATTTATTATAGGAGTATCATGGCCCTTCTATGAAGTATTCAGTGGTGAGCATTAATAATGTAAATAAATGAAATTTCAAATAGTTGATCCAGATTAAATAGTCAAAGCATTAGGATTAAAAGTTTTATGCGCACATTACACTGAATATAAAGCTGAAATGTGAAAGAGTCCAATGAAAGTTAATTATGGAAGTTATATCTGGTAAACAAAATTAGTATATAATCACGCATCGAAAATGATAATGTAGATCTTACCTTTCCACAAAATAAGATAACAGGCACAGGAAACCTGTTATGGCGTCTAGAAAAGCGCGACTGCTCAACCAGTGGAGCGAATTCATCAACATCGAAGCTAGAAATTGCAATAATATGAAATGTGAAAGAGTTCCAATCATTTTAAAAGAATTTCAGTTTACACTCTGATAACTGAAAACAATTGAGCATATCAATTCAATTCATTTTCTTGTATATTACACTTTCTTGCATGTATGTAAGAAATATACAAAATCAAATATATACACATTAAACTTAATATTCCGTGATTAAACTTTTATGATATCCTAAAGTTTTTCACTTCAAAATTTTAGTTTTGAAGTGCTTTCTGGTAAACTACCGACGAATTTCTTGATTTTAATGTAATATTAATTGATTTTAATGTAATAAAAATGCAATATTGAATTTTAATTCGAATATTACTTTTTTTAGTTTGTTGAAATCTGTTTCAGCAGTTTACTTCTTAGCAGTTAACGTGATCACAGGTTTACAGATAATTCTTCAATATATTGAATTTCTCGTCTTTTTAATCTTATTTCAGTTGTATTTCTACTTATACACTGACGTCTCTTGCTTATGTCCCTGAAGACCGAAATAATTAGTCAAAAGGAACACTCTTTACAACGTATATGTTAAGTTAGGCTATTTGAACTACAGTTAGCCACAAAAGTCTGCGTAGAGACTAAATTTTAAATTAAAAAACCACTTAAAGCAAAGAAAAATGTATTTTAATAATTGCATTTTTTTTCTTCTATTAGCTAAAATTCTAAGCTTAAATAAAAAGTATCAGTGTAATACTTTACATTTTTTCAAAAAATTTATTGTCAAAAAAACTCAGAAATTCCCTCCAATAAGTCTGCATACACTTAAAAAAAGCAATATATAAGCTTTTTCCATTACTTCAATACTTTGTAGGATATCCTTTATTCTTCAAAACAGCTTGCAGACGTCTGGTCATTGAACTAGTTTTTCAGTGTAATCCGACGTAAATTTCGCCCATTCTTCCTGAAATTTACTAATTAGCTCATCTCGCGACGCAATATTGAGTTTTCGAATTCGTTTCTCCAATTTTGCCCACATATGTTCCATTGGATTGAGGTCTGGTGGCTGTTGAGGAGTGCGCAACAGTCTTGGAGTGTGATAGAGGATATACTCCTTGACAATTTTAGCTGCATGTTTCCGGTCGTTGACTTGTTGGAAAATAAATGTATTAGAAAGGTTTAAATTTCGGGCACCGTCTCGTAGATTTTTCTTCAGAATACCCAGATAAACATACTTATCCATGTTTGGTTTGTTCTATTAGATTACGGCAAAGCACTCGAGGGCTATCTGCCTTAAGGGAGGGATGCCTTCGTGGAGGACTTAAGGGAAACTCGCTCGTATACACGTTACACATGGGGAAAACCACGAAAACACCCATGCAGCCAGCCCGTTCGCGGGATTCGAACCTCGGACCGAACTACCAGTGTTCAGCGACGTTACCGCTCGGCCACTGGTGGGCCCATACTTATCCATGACTATCAATAATGTGAAAAGTTTCAACTCCTTTCGACGACATACACCCCTATACCATCACACCGCCAGCTCCATGTTTGACAGTTGGATTTAAATTTCTGAGATTGTTCTGTTCTTGGTTTTCTCCATACAATAGGGTGGCCATTAACTTTCAATATTGTAAATTTACTTTCATCTGACCAAATTACATTGTTCCAGAAGTCCTGTGAAGAGTTTAAATATGTTTTGGCAAAAGCAATTATTTTCTATTTGTCTCTGAAATGTATGGCTTAGACCTAGGTTTGAGTCCATGATAATCGGCCTTTCGCAGCACTTTTCGTACAGTTTCAGGAGAAATTTCCTTGTTGCTAGTTAAAAAATGTCTTTTGCAATGCTTGCAGCAGAAAGTTTAGGATTTTGTTTAATTCGTAAAAGAATTTTTCTTCTCTCTGCGTTATCTTCTTCGATCTCCCATATCTTGGTTTTACAGCAAGACTACCGGTGTCCAGATAGTTTTGAATAACTTTGCACACTGGAAAATGGTTTTCCAATGGTTTTACCAATATAACGAAGAGTTTTACCTTCATCTCTCAATTTGATAATTAGTTGTCTCGTAACTAAAGGAATTTCTTTATTGGTTGTCATTTTCGTCAAAGAAAATAGAAATAGCAACTTCAAAGCAACGTGAAATTTGCTTCGGTAGTCAATGACCTTGAAAGTGTAACCTTCTTTGCATTCTCAAGTTTGAAGTTTAAAAGTTAGATATGAAATTTCCCGCCTCCTTCGCGTTGTACGTAAACTTTATTGGCTTTAGTTTCTGGCCACTCATCTTTTAAAAATTAGTGTGGATAAATTATTAGATATGAAAATATTACAGTTAAATAATTTCAAAGTCCCTTATTGAAACTAAATATTTAAAAAATAAAACTTTAAGAAACTACCCTTTTCGCACCTTAAAATTTGGATTTGATATTACTCTTCTTGATGTATGCAGACTTTATTGACAAACTGTACATTCTTGGAGGACTTTCCAAGGAAGACTAGCTTATATTCTTGTTTACTCATGGGAAAAAACAAAACCAACCATGCAAGCAGCCCGCACGTTTGGTTTTGTATCCAAACGAGGTCGAGCTACCAGAATTCAGGGTACTCGGCCACTGGTGGGACACTTTTTTTAAAAGTTTGAATTGTCGAAATCTCAATTTTCACAAATGTTTGAGCAAAATTTTGGATATGCTCCGTTAAGATGCACTGTAAATATAAAAAGAGGTAAAATCGCAACTACAACGCTTAGGTTTTAATTCGTGAAGGTAGAAAATTAACAGATCTGTTGAAAATAAGTGACTTGGCGTTGAAAAAACTTGGATTCATCTGAATATACGACTTGCTTTCGAATTTGAGAAAAAATTATTTTTCTTACTGAAAAACCTAAAAATTATGAAACTTTAGGCATTTAATGCAAACATTTTAATAGAAATTTGAATAAATAATTAATTTCAATTTAAAGTAATTGCTTGTTATACAATTGCTGACCAACTAAAGAACGGTGTATTGGTGTTGGTGTATTGAGAATGAGGCAAAGAACACTAGGACTATCAGACTAAGGGGAGGGATGCCTTCGTGGAGGACTTTCCAAGGGAAACTGGTTCCTAATTACACAAGGGGAAACCACGAAAACGCCCATACAGCCAGCCCGTTCGCGGGATTCGAACCTTGGACCGAACTATCAGTGCTCAGTGATTTTACCGTTCCGTTGCTGGTGGGACCCCAACTAAAGAACGAATTTTTGACATTCAATCAATTTCAAATTTACAAATACCAATGATTTAATTCAGATACTCTACAAAATATCAATGGTGAAAAAAAGGAAAGATTAGTTGGATGAAAAAGTATTGTTTGCGCACATTTTATTATTTAAAATAGTTTTTTCAAATTATCTTAAATTTAAACCGATCGATCTTTTGTTTCATCTGCTTACTTAGGCTACATTTTGAGGTGTTGGTTACGGCAAAGGAAATGAATGTTATCTGAAGTCTTGGATGGCAAATTCTTACAGCTCGGTAGTTGGCAAAAGTTAAATTTTAGAATGTCTTAGCTTCTTATTATGGCAAATGACAGAGTTAACAGGTTGTAAATAAAGATGCCTACAAGACAAAAGACAATTATGCTAAATTTGAGAAAACTCGCAGAAACTTGTTAATCCTTTGCGCTCCGGGCCTTTTTCGCTGCGGCGCATCAGAAACTCTAGGCTTTTTGCAGCCGTTTTGACGCATTTCTTAAAAGTAACTTAAGAAATTTTAACTCATTAGACACACAAATTAATGTACAAGATGTTTGTATTTTAAAATTTTATATATCTTTACACCTGTATAAACATTTTTAAAATATTAGTCTAATTTTTCTGTGTATGACATTTCCTGTAACAATTACAAAGATGCATGCCCGAATTTTCGGGGCAAGTATTACAATAATGTGCGATTTGATGCCTTTTCCGGGTTCATTCTTTGAGAACAGACTTTGTGATAGATAAGAAAAATATTTCAGATAACAAAATCTTATCTTCGTTTAAAAGGATAACATTTTACATTTAAGATTATATAGAAAGTGTATTAACCCGCTTCGAGGAAACTAAACGTAACCAGTTATTGCCGCCCATCGAGTTTCCGCATCAAACCAAGTGGTGAGCGAGAGTCACCATCAGTTGCGGCATCGAATATGGTGAATCAAGAGTTACTTCTCGAGTGTAAAGGGTTAACAACGAAGAAAAAATGTATGAAAGAGTCACAAGTAAACTTGCAGTTATTTAAATTATTTGATTATGGAAGGGCATGGTTAGTACTCTCCGCCTAATCATTTTCAGAGGGCTTTCTTATGAAAAGAGGCCCATATCTATGTTACACCAAGAGAAAATCATGAAAACCCCATGCAGACAGTCTGAAATTGGACCCATATCAAATTCCACGGTTCACAATGACTTACTGCTCGGCCATTAGAGAGTAGGAAACTAAGAATTCCTGGAAGTTGAACCCATTTCTTACAGCAAAGAGCGGAAGAAACTAATCAGCTCTTTTGTTTGAAAAGAAGCTTCAGCTTTCTTTTCAAATAGTATTTTAAATCATTAAAGGTAGATTACTGAAACATCGAACAATAAAACTACCAACATTAAGAACAAAACAGCAGTAATTTGAATACTTTTCAGAATTATTGAAAAATGTTTGCGTGGTTGAAACGCTTTTCAGATGACTGTCGACAGTACACTAGGAAAAGATGGGGCTCCCAGACCTAGTCTTGAACGTCCTTAAACCTTTTAATGCCCCAAACCCTAGAGACGATCCAGGATGCATAATGTTCTCCGATTAATTCAGGGGTACAATTTTAGAAGCACAGTCTTGAGGAAAAAGCAATAGTCAATGGCGACCGGCAAGCACTTGCCAACAAAGAGAACACAGGTACGTCGTAGACCATCTCTTAATATTTGACCAAGGGGAGCCAAGCCTTCTACAAAAACACGTTTCATAGGACAACAAGATTTCAAAGCAAAAAAAAAGTTTTTTTTGTATGCGGCAACGTTATGTTCTCATAGCATAAGACATTAAATAATAAATCAAGTAATTATTACTAAAATTCTGCATCGCGTTGCTTCTTCGATTGCACTTGCACACAAGCTCAACCCTTTCGTCCTGAACCTGATTCACCTAATCTTTCAGCTTTAGCTTCTAGTTGTTTTTGCATCAATGGGCGAGCCAAGTTGGAAGCTAAAATAAAAATTTTGATTACAAACCTAAACACACATTTGTACCGGTAATTATACCATTTGGTATATATACGCGAAATAAACAAAAAGATAAATAATTTTAAGTTAAGTAATTCATACAGACCGGATATTCTATTTCTTTTCTAAACATTTTATAAGCATTACAGTAAAATTACGTATAAAATCAAGTTTATTCTCGCACAAATTTACAGCAAAATGTATAATGCAGGCACTCACTGGTTTATTAACAAACATAACCTTACATTTAGTGAAATCCGCATGATGTTATACACTGGGGTGATGCTGTGGTACTTAAAATACCGTAGTGGTACACTTTTCGGTTAGTTATAATCTTAAATATGGCCTGCAGATATTTTTAAACATCAATGGAGATGTGTATACCGTTCGGGAAGAAAGGGTTAGGACATAGAATCAAAGTTTCGTCATTGAGGAAATTAAAAGTACAACGCAAAAATAAATATGAAATGATTTGTTCATTATAAGGAATAGTGTTTTAAAATAATTACCTAGTGCTCGGAAACTGCGCTTCAGCAACGTCTGCTGCTCTCTCTTTTATAGGAATAATTATGTTCATTGGATAAGTCGGGCAGAGTTTCCCACACTGATTATCTAGATGCTGTGATAGAGATTTTACATTTTACATAACATTTGAAAACTTTTAGTGTATGTTAAAAGTTTTGAAACAGCTTCGTTACAAAACTCACCTGACATTCATAGTCTCTATTGAAGAGCATCGTACACATGTTCATGATGGATGCACTCTCCTGAAATTTAAGAATTTTTTTAATAAGGAAATTATAACTCTTACTGCCACTATGGTTAGTAACCAAAACTAGCAAACTTATCGTAAAACTGCCAAAGGTCAATTTGTTGTTTTAATTAACTTAAAATTAAAACTACTTTTACATACACATAAAGTTCTGAAATTAAAATATTATGCATTAATTCATCAGTTTTTGAAAAACCATTCTCAAAATGAAATTACTTCATATTACACCTTCACCATCTGCAACTTCATAGTTTAAGATCTAAATGTTTTGCGTATAAGTTTCTTTCCTTTCAGACATTACATATCACTTTAGAATGTTACACTAGACAAGATTAATTTTGTGGATTTCAAAAAAATTTACATTAAAATTAAACAATTTGAAACAGGAAACCAGAAAAAGCGTAGGAATTAGGCATATTTAAGATTTTAACAAATATGAAATAAACTTGCACTAATATTTTTGGCGTAACACAAAACTGAATTTAAATGTTGGTTAGCGTTTTAGCTTTTTATATATTTATACAGCTTGAGAAAACATAATAAGATGGGTTAAAAAGAGTTGTAAAATACCGAATCATTATCCGATTTGTAATAGCGATGGCGTGCTACTTTGTCCATCAACATTCTGACGTCAGTTTCGGTGACTAACCAGTTATTGCCTTCAGCTGCAATGTCCAGTTCTTCCAGCTCTTCTACCAGTTCTTCTACTACTCCTTCTGCCATCACTTAAAAAATGTATCAGGCTACGACGAACCCAGTAGATTCTTTCACGAAATAAATTGTTAAAAGTATTACGCGAGATATTTATAAATTCGTATTCTAAGCTCTATCTTGGGAATAACCAATAAGCTTCAATATGCAAATCTTTTTCCCGAAAATGTTTAATTTAAAATACATTATGAAAACTACGTCGAAATTTGCGAAATAAAAATAATTTATTGCTCTTGAAGTAAAGTTATTTATTAAATGTTCTTTTCATTTGCAATGCGAATAAAAAGCAAAATATAGAAACAAGTAAACATCTACACTATTTTGTCTGTTAATCAAGTACAAGAGAGAGGAAAAAAAGGTTTTTAACAGTGTAGAAAATTTTCTAGACGTAAAATATAAAGTATCTGTTATTGCTCAAATAACTTAGTCTAGAAATATCCTTAGAATAAGACCTTAGACACAGAACATGAGAGAACAATAAGCCTCCTGCCTTGCGATTATGAATTTTGTATTTAGTTAGATATTTTGAGTAGAATTATAATTAAAATAGTTTTATTTCTCCTTCCAATGGAGAACGAGACATAATTTAAGAGAAAGCTACGCCGGAAAAGTAAAAACGCAGGAACACGTGCATTTAACATTGAATAAATATTTATCTCGTAATTTATATTTAATTTGAATGAATGCAATTGACTACTATGTTAGCTATAGTCGTAATTCTACCTTTTTGCTTTCCAGAAATCTCGAGAAGCAGAAATTTACTAGAAATTTCTCGCGACCGATTTAAAGCTAAAAAACGCCAGACAGAGAACATCTCGGTTCAGTTGTTTAGTTAGCCGCTGTTATTATTGTTGATATGATTAGCTTTATCTGCGCTGTAGATTGCGTTCTATTTAACGTTTTAGTAGTTTAGGATATAGCTACTGATTATATTGTGATATTGTACGAATATCTAAGAGTGAAAAATTTAGGTGTTATGTTATATTTCCTTTGATAAAAATTAATTTTATTAACTTTTTTTTTTTTTTTTTTTTTCTACTTGGGCATTCCAAATATTACAAACCCGCACGCAACACTTTTTGGTGTTAAATGCCAACTGAATAGGTATTATAAAGTCGCTGAATAGGTATTATATTGTGATGAGTGATAATTAAATCTTAATATTTACTACCAACAAGCTACCTTGTTGGAACTTCAGACAGCAACAGATGATTAAAAATTTGATGACAAGTTGGAGACAGCGGCTCTGATCAAAGTATCTTCAGAAAATTGCACTACAAGACAAAGACATCTTTTAAACAACAGCAAAATTTTTCAAGCAGAATTAATCGCAATACAAGCAGAAGTCCCCTATGCAATTTAATTACACTTGAAGAACACAAAAGCTTTCACCAGCAGCCAAGCAGCACTCCTGGCTCTCAAAAATTCAAAAATATCTTGAACTTCTCATCTTATAGGGCATTAATGAAACCTCAGACCAAAACGAAATCAAGTGCACAGTATTCTGGATAAGAAAGTATTTCGACCACCAAAGGAGAGGATAAGGCGGATAAAGTTGTAAAGCAAGCAGATCAAATGTATATTAGTTTTTGCAACATTTAAGTATATGGGGAACGGGGAGACTACATCAAACTAGCAAGTGAAGGTACAGACTTGTGTCAAGTAACATAAAAGAACATGAAACTACTGTTACTAATAGAGTCGTTGAACTTTTGCTATAATTCTTAAATGAAATATTTTAGGACTGTAATTAGTGCTGAATTTTATCTTTTTAAATTATAAATTGCATTAGGATTGTATTATTTATTCAAAATTATTTGTATTAGAACAGTGTTTAGGTATATAATTATGACCGTTATAAGATATTTCTCCCGACCTTCTTTCCTAGCGTACTTCGTGTTGTGGTGGTCTGCACGCTGGGCGCGTATTCCAGAGGTCTGTGGTTCGATTCCCGGCCAAGGCATTGCCTATTTTTTATCTTTCTCCTGCTTCCAAAAAATAGCTAATGTCTCTACATCGTATTAGGACTAAATTTTATGTATCGCTCTACAAATAAATCTCATCAGTGTACCAAGTATATTATACCAAGGCAACAGTGTAAATGTAAATAATTTAACTTTTTCTTGAACGAAAAATATAATGTAACTGGTTGCCCCTATTGTGGCCTGTGGGCACCTTTGATTGTGTCTTGTGGACGCGTGATTATATACCCAGTGCGGATGCTCACAGGAGGCGTTGGGTGGCTGTGTTCAAGATGGTTAGTTGATAGAGGCTTTACTTGGAAGCTAATTGGCGATGGACTGGTACCTATACTTGTTGAAACCTGTACTTGTTTTAATGGTACCTGCTCTTCCACTTCTATCTGTACCTGTTGAAACTTCAGAACGTAAACATGCTGTTGTATAATTTAGAATTTCACTCAATAACATTAAAATATTTTCAGATATACTTATCTCTAAAGAGACCTTAGTTGTTCTTTCTGCCTCCTTATTTAAACGTCGCCAAAATTATCCCGAAGCTTGATTAAGAAAAAGTAAAGAACTTACATAGTAAATATATTTACTTCTCGCATACATTCTGTAGTTACCATGTTTTTAGGACTGCTGTAAATATAACATCATAAGGATTTTGTCGTTCAAAGGAATTCCACCCTTAAACCTTTAAACGTATTTATTCTCTTTTTTTGATGGCGTGTATACCAGCCAGTTTTCCTTAGAAAGTACCTCTCGGACCCTCTCCAGCATTCATTCTACCTCAAGCGCCTCCAGTTGCACATACCTTACAATAGCCGGATAAAAACGTGCAAATTGCATGTTATTCTCCATATAGCGGAACCTGGAACCTGGTAAGGAATCATTTTTGCACTTACTTTTGCGAGTGATGCAAAAGGTTGCTCATCTAAGCGAATTTGATAGATGGCAGAACCGAAGATATGGAATGAGTATCTCCGAAACTGCACGACTGGTAGGTTGCTCAAGATCTGCCGTTGTTAGTACTTATACAAATTGGATAAATGACGGTTAAACTAGCACTAAACACTAAGGTATTGGATGTCCATGCGTCATTAAAGAAAAAGGATGTCAGATTCTGTGCCCCTCGGTACAGCAAAATCGGCGCCAGACAGTGATTCAACTGACAGCCCAACCCAATGCAGGTCCAAATGCAAGTTTTTCGGAACACACATTTCAGTGGACTGTTTGAAATGAGATTGCGTAGCAGACCTAATACTTGTATGCCTCTGTTGACTAAGCTTCATTGTCAGCTACGCCTACAATGGGTCCAGGAACATCGAGACTGGACCATGGATAAGTAGAAGACAGTTGCCTGGTTGCATGAATCATTGATAACGTTTACGGTCATATCAGGGTACATCGTCTTCCAAGCGAGCAATTGCTCCCCCTGATGGTTGCGATATTATGCTTTGGGTAACATTCTCATGGGATTATCTGGGACCTCCAGTTGTGGTAGAATAGGCCATGAAAACTGTGGACTGTCGGAACTTGACTGTGGATCAGTTGCACCCTTATATGGCTTCTGTCTTCCCAACTGGAAATGGAATATTCCAGCAGAACAATGCCCCATGTCACAAGGCTCGATTTGTACTGGAGTGGTTCGAGGAGCATAAGGATGAATTCCAATCAATGTCCTGGCTATCTAAAAAGCTCAATAACTTCACTCAATGTTTTTAATATTGAGTAACCGTCAAATCACTTACGAAGTTCTCTCTTTCTTTATAATTGTGACATTTAAATCCGTTCTCTCAGAATTTTTATTTTCGTTTTAAACTGGTTTTTGTTCTTTTGAAGTTGTTAATGTTGTTTACATAAAAATGGATAAGTGTTGAAAAGTACATCGTTGCATATAAGTGAAACTATCTTTTATAATTCTAATTTGAGATCTATGCCAAGTACTTATGTCAAAAACCACTCAATTCAATCAAACGTAATTCATAGCGATGATTGGCGTCAAAGCCGTATGTAACATTAATCTGAAAATTTTGCAAAAATAAACAAACAGAATAGTCCCCAAACTGTATCTATGATCTATTTAACTAAACTGTATCTATGATCTATTTAAGTAAACTGTATCTATGATCTATTTAACTAAACTGTATCTAGCATCTATTTAACTAAACTGCATCTATGATCAAACACTTAGATTTATGGCAACTGAATTCCAGATACTTTTAATGCAGATTTTTTTGCAGAAAGCTCAAAATTATCATTCTCTGCAAAATGCAAAAGCTTATTAGTTATATTTCGTACTTTTAAATAGTATGTTATTAAAATAATACAACAATGTGATATAATAATAATATTCAGCAATACCACTTTGGAAATATTATAAGGGTTTCATAGGTTCTGAAGGGCCAGGATATGGATACTATATAAAATCCTTTTAGGGGTCCCCCGAAGAAACAGGGTTGAGAGGAACTTTTTCTACAAGGGTCTTAGAATGTTAAGTTCGGTCCCTTAAAATGTAAATTCAGAATACAGGAAGAACCCTCCAAGGCAGGAGGCTTACTGTTCTCTCATGTTCTGCATCTAAAAAATTATTCTAAAGATATTTGTAAACTATTTTAATTGAGCAATATCAGATAATTTATATTTTACGTCAATAAAATTTTATACATCGTTGAAATCCATTTATTTCTTGTGTCTGGTATTTGATTAATGGAAAATATCGTGTACATATTTACTTGTTTATCTAGTTGGCTTTTTATTCGAATTGCAGCTGTAAAGAATATTGTTGCGTACGTACGGGTTCGTAATATATTGCATGCACAAGTTCAAAAAAAGGTTAATAAAATTTATTCATATCAAAAGAAATACAACAGAACACTGGATTTTTCCTCAGAGATATTCGCACAATATCACGCAATATAATAAGTAGCTTTAAACTACTAAAACGTTAAATAGAACACAATCCACAGCGCACAGAAAGTTAATCCGATTAACAATAATAACAGCACCTAACTAAACAACTGAGCTGAGATGTTCTCTGTCTGACATTTTAAAGCTTTCAATCTGTCACGAGAAATTTCTAGTAAATTTCTG